ATCACCCCTGCTGATACACCCCACCACAGCAGAGACATCAGAAAACTTGGGACTCTGTGTGGTAGTTAAAGGTCTGTGGTGTAGAGGGTGAAGAGGAAGGGAGAAAGGACTGTTCCCTGCGAGGCCCCGGTGTTACTAACCACTCTGTCTGACACACAGTGTTGCAGGAGCACAGACTGTGGTCTGCCAGTCAGGTAGCTGACAATCCAGGACACGAGGAAAGCATCCACCTCTCCATCGCTGTCAGCTTCTAACCCAGCAGAGCAGGCCGGATGGTGTTGAAAGCTTAGCAGAAGTCATAAAACATGACCCTCACAGTGCTCTCCCGGCTTGTCCAGGTGGGTGTAGATGTGACTCAGCAGGAAGATGATGGTCGGGGCTGGTAGGCAAACTGGAGTGGGTCCAAGTGAGGTTTGACCGTGGGCTCTCTCCAGAAAGTCTCACTGATCTTCACTCTCAGATCCCCCTGTATCGTTCTCACTTCCTCCCGATCACCATCTCTAAAAGCCCTCTTCTTGGCATTCAGCATGTCCTTGATGTCCTTTGTTACCCAAAGGTTTGTTGTTTGAATAACAATGGACGACGGGAGCAACTGTAAGAGGCAGCATGCACACTCAATAGTGCTTTTCTAACAGGGTAAACACAGGGTAAACACAGGTGTTACCAATGATACTAATTAAGGTGCGTAGCAGGAAACAATGGTGGCTCACCTGGTCACACGATCTTGTATTACAGAGAAACAGTACACTAAAATGTGTTTCTGAAACTTTTAAGTGAGAAATAGAGAACGCTGACCCAGAAACATTAACAATACCCATCATATATGCTGTCAATGGTTGGCTCATTGGAAAGGAGTACCATACCCTAATCTTTCACGCCAAGTGGCTGCACTAAAGGGTCTTTCGTACTGATTAGACCACACATATTCAGGCTTCTGGTCACAAGACACGGAGCATGTGGTCTCTGTGGCGCAATCGGTTAGCGCGTTCGGCTGTTAACCGAAAGGTTGGTGGTTCAAGCCCACCCAGGGACGGCAGTTTTTTCAGTTTTTCACAGAAAACTTACAAACACAAGCTCTGTTAACATGTTGCCTTTAACAGGTTTGCAGTAATTTTGACAACACAAGTGCTTTTAAAGCAGAACATGAGAAAAGACAGTAAGTGTAGAGTACAGGAAGAAGAAGTTGGGTAGAATCAAGCTATCAATCTTTTAGTTTAACACTTAATAGACTAAATGTATCCAGTAGTCCTGAAAGGTAATTCACAATAAGATCAGGACGGTCTGACAATCCACCAAGAAACAAAAAAAAAGTTGTGCGCCCAACGTGGGGCTCGAACCCACGACCCTGAGATTAAGAGTCTCATGCTCTACCGACTGAGCTAGCCGGGCGACTGATGAAACACTCGGAGGCGGGGTTTAAATTCATGCCACTATTCCTCTTACTACGTCACCATGGTTGCCGTTGCCAGCCCGAACCATCCTCAAAATAACCCACAATGCCTCTAAAATCATTGGTCACCTAACTCCCAACCTCCCAGCCCTCGGTGACACAGCCATCAGTCACTCACAATAACACACAGCCCCAGCAATGCCCCCGACTGCCCCACCAGAACGACACTGTTCAGGGTTCGGCACAGCCACTACAGACATGTGCAAGGACGGAGAGGGCACCAAAGCAATGATCATTAATCATAATAATCATGTAGGGAGCAGTGCCAAGTGTTATCGAGTTTGGCTGTCATTTATGGTTGCACTCTGTCTCTCAGCTCCACACACACACACACACACACACACACACACACACAAGAGCAGATAGTAGAGAGGCTGCTTACAAAGTAGAAAAAGTAGAAAAGTAATATTTCCACCAGCTTTGTCCACAGTTGTTGTTATTTTAACCACAGCTGAAAGGAAAGCTGTCTATCTGTAATCTTGGTGTTCATCCTTTGCCACAAATCTGAGAGGACGACAGGAAGGATTGATACTGACTGATGTCTGACTGTTTGATGTCAGGAATATTATTTATTTTACTTACATTTTAGATGTGTTTCTCGTGAGATATTGACGTCTGGGTTGACCTACAAAAAAATGTCCTACCTGGGGGCACCAATAATCAGTAAAAAACATGAATGTCACTTGTCAAACATGAGACCTGAACAGTTAACTATGTAACATCAGTCACAGTTTGAGTAATCGATATAAAATATATGGTGGTAAAAGCATAAGAAAACTTAATATACCGTCAACTATGTTTTTGTTATGTTAAAAATTATCTTGAAAATTCGTGTTATGTAAACGAGAAGAGAAAACCAGTTACTTTAATTATTTTATTTTGTTATTTTTTATGATGTTTTATGTTAAAAACTTATATAATAATCATGTTTTACATTTTATTCTTAATTTGCCTTGCACACTTTTATTTATGGTTGTTTTAATACGGTTTAATTTACTATGTGAAGCACTTTGGGCTCCATATTTGTGTAAAAGGTGCAAAATAAATATATAATATAAAGTTAAATATATCTATTGGACACAGACCTTGTGAACCTGCGTTAATTACTTCTCACAACTTATTTAAAACTTACAAACACACAACATGAAAGTGGTCAGATTCTTGGTAACAACAACAACAATAATAACTACAGTTAGAAGATAATTTTAATCCATTAACACCATTAAGTTAATGCTAGCTCATTAGCATATCGCTCTCGTGTTAAGTTAGCTAACGCTAGCACAGTTCAACAACAACAACAACAACAACAACAACAACAACAACAACAACAACAACTACGGATGTTTTCTTTTATGTTTTTAACCCAACAAAAGAACGAAGTTTACTTTAATATTAGTCACATTCTTACCGTGACGACGAGAGGAGCTCGACGTCGACCTGATGAGAGCTGAAGTTGAGGCTAACGGAGCTCGACGAAGAGCGAGTGTAGTACCTACGGCAGCCTGTAGGGGACATTTCTCTCTCCTCTGTCTCTGTCCGCCAACCATAGACCACAAACAAAGTAAACTTTATCCAAAACAATAAAGATTTAGCTTTGTATTCAGGGCTCTCCAAACTTCTTTAATAATAATAATAATAATAATAATAACAACAACAACAACAACAACAACAATAATAATAATAATAATAACACTAATAATAAAAAAAAATAATAACAACAACAACAACAATAATAATAACACTAATAATAAAAATAATAATAATAATAATAATAATAATAACAACAACAACAACAATAACAACAATAACAATAATAATAATAACACAAATAACAATAACAACAATAATAATAACGCTAATAATAATAATAATTATGATAATAATAATAATAACGCTAATAATAATAATAATAACACTAATAATAATAATAATGATAATAATAATAATAATAATAATAACGCTAATATAATAACAACAACAATAATGATAATAATAATGATAATAATACATTTAATTTATAGAGCGCTTTTCAAGAAACTCAATTCATACACTTCATGAGTTAAAAAGGAAAAGAAAAAGCTAAAAACAACACACTAAGAAGTTAAAGCTATATATCTACAGCAGTCAAGAATAATTAATTGTTAAAATCATTAAAAAGGTGGTTTTGATCAGTGACAAGTCTCTATCCTCACGATTTGAATGTTTTACAATTGTTTTATTTATTGTTATAAAGGTGTGATTGCACCTGTATTAAAGATATACACTAATCACAAAAACATAGGGATATTCGGCTTTCGGGTGAAATTTCAGAATGTACATAAAATGCACTATAACCTTTCCAGGTGATCTTAATTTGACCTTCTCTAAACTTTTGAATGCATGTGTCCAACTGTTCAATATCTCAGTACTTACTGCATAACATGCTGTTCTCTAACAAGGTGATTAACCACAAAAATCACAAAAGTTCAATGACAGTTTGTATTTAAACAGTCCTCTTCATCACGCTGTTCACATTTTGACATTATGAGACCAAGACGACACCTAACAATGGATCCACAGTCCCTGGAGCCCGCTTCAAACGGGATGTACTCAGAGGGAGGTTTCCACTGAGCTTAGTGTCACAGAGTGTCACCAGCAGGTTGCAATAAGTCATTAAATTTCACCCGGAAGTGGAATATCCCTAACTTTTTGTGAGTAGTGTAATTTGTGACCCATCATACATAATCTGTGAAGTAAGGACTACTATGCAAACAGAATAATCAATATTAATGCTATATAAATGTGTCAGAAGCATTCTCACGTTGTAGTTGAGTTTATATGTTGTTGGGCGGTGTATTATGTAACACTTTATTTTTATTATAAGCAGATTATGTGTTTTGTTTATAAAATGTTAATCAACAAACTGTAACTATTGTACAATTTAACTTGTATCTAGGTACAATGTTTCCCTCTGAAAAGTAGAATTATATCAGAAAATGGAAATAACTACGAATAATAATTAATTATACTTCAGCTGTCAGAATCAGAAATACTTTATTGATCCCCAGGAGAAAATTTGTTTGTTACAGTTTTACTCACACGATATTAAAGAATAGAAATAATACTTACATAACAATATCTAACACAATATATAGAATAGAAATGTATGTATGGGTGTATACCTATAGGTAAAAAAATAAATAAAATGGAAAAAGAAATATAATAAGAGCCTATATACAAAGTAAATTTAAATGTGAAATAGTAATGAGTTTTAAAGATTGTGGTGTTTGCAGAAGTTACAGATTATTACAGATTACATTTGTGTATATTGTCTCTTTTCATTGTCTCTAGTTGTATCTTTATTTCTATATGTCTACATTTAATTGCTTTGCACAAATTTACCAAGTCAAACCTCCTTGAATGTAAATTTTAATTCTCCACTAGATGGCGCCATCCCACTACAATAAAGCGGAGCTGAGAGAGAGATAGGTGGAGAGAGAGAGAGAGACAGAGAGAGAGAAAGAGAGACAGAGAGAGAGAGAGAGATAGGTGAGAGAGAGAGAGAGAGAGAGAGACAGAGAGAGAGAGAGAGAGAGAGAGAGAGAGAGAGAGAGAGAGAGAGAGAGAGAGAGAGACAGAGAGAGAGAGAGAGAGAGAGAGAGAGAGAGAGAGACAGAGAGAGACAGAGAGAGAGAGACAGAGAGAGAGAGAGAGAGAGAGAGAGAGAGAGAGAGAGAGAGAGACAGAGAGAGAGAGAGAGAGACACAGAGAGAGAGAGAGAGAGACAGAGAGAGAGAGAGAGAGAGACAGAGAGAGAGAGAGAGAGAGAGAGAGAGAGAGATGACCTCCTCTTCCTCCCCGTCGATCCGGTGCAGGTGTCTCGCGACCACCGGAACCACCGTCACGTTCTAAACCTCACGCGTAAAGAAACACACACGCGAGCAGCAGCAGCCGCCGCCGCGAGCAAACCACGTGATCGAACGCGGAAATTGTCCGTTGGAGAAAGTGCAGTCTGTCTGTCGGTCGGTCGGTCTGTCTGTCGGTCTGTCGGTCTGTCTGTCTGTCGGTCGGCGGGGAGCTGCTGCTGGTGTTAGTGGTGGTGGTACACAGAGGTAACGACGACGGTGTCCGAGTTTCACCCGTCGAGGACAAAGTAAGGTAAGCTCGTCGGAAAACATAAACAAACTGTTTGTTGTTGTTTGTTTGTTTATGTTGACAGTTTTGTGTTAACGCGGGAACTTTTTTTTTTTTTTTTTGGAGAAATGACTTGCAGGGATGGAGTCGTGTCAGGACACAGCTCACTGTGTGTATCTATGTTCGTGTTGCTCCTGTTGTTAATGTTAATTTAAGTTAATTGTGATTGTTTTAATTGTGTTACCATAGTCACCAGTCTCAGTTGTGTTGTTTTTATGTTGTGTTATTGATTCATGGGTCACTTTTAAAGCATTTCAACTTTATTTTCTTACATTTAAAGCACAATGAACAACAAATAAGTATGATTAATGCATTTTTATAGAGTTTAAACTAATGAAAATGACATACATTGGTTTAAGAAGGCATTACAGTATGCTACCAAAGTGGCTGATGTTTACTGATGTTTACTGTATTGGACAAAATATTAGAAACGCTGCGCTCTGCCGCCTCCAAATGACCATAATGTTGAATCAACACCTCTAAATCAACAAAACTGAACATGGTAACCTTCATGCAGTTAAGATTTATTGAAGGGCTGTTGTTTTAGACTGCACTATTTTTAGCTAGATGTAGGCAGAGGGTCAAATATTGTAATAGACATAAAACTCATGATATAACGTTAGCTTGTTAGGTCATGTACATATTATGGTATAGAGCAGGAATAAAGACAGGGTTTACAGTTTATTTAGTGGTGATATATAGAACATGAGTTACAGTGTATGTACATATATGTGTACAGGGTTAACAATGTCATGGTCACATTAACTTTATAGTTAATTGGGGCTGTGACTAATGACTAACGAGCCCAAGTTGACATGTTCAGATAGCTTTATAAGTCTGACCAACAGTGTAAACTCAAAGATATTCAGTTTACTATCACAAAGGATGAAGAAAATAATCAAATATTTACATTTGAGAATCTGAAGTAAGTGAATTTGTTTGACATTTATGACATAAACCATTAATTGACAGATCAAATTGTCTAATTGTTTAAGCTCTAGTAAGGTAAAGCTATATATATAAGAGAGAGAGAGAGAGAGAGAGGGTTAACAGTGTAGTGAGACAATGTTAACTTGAGTGAAAATGATATTTTCTCTCACTCCCAGCGTGTGCCTGTTTCACATGGAGGAGAGCAAATCACTTTCTCCAAATAACAAGCATTAAATTCGAAGCAGGAGATGGGTACCTGTTGCTGCTCTCTGTGGCATCTCCAATTTTAATTTGTCAACTGTGACACAGAGCGGAGGGAGAGCTGTCAGCAACAAAGCTCGCTCTGGCTTTAGGATTTAAATAAGGTGGTCATGCATGTAAATTAAGCTCAATTCTCACACTCTTTAAAAGCTACTGTAGAAGGTACTCGTCAGTACAATGCAGCAGTTAACTGTGAATACACAAAAACAACTAAATGAAGAATTAAAGCTGTTACCAGTTGTGTTAAATAGGTCATTTACAACATGTATTTGTATGGAAGACTATCTTTAACCACACAAACCATCACTATCATTTATTTTTTTGGGTTACACCTGTCCCAGTTTACATTGCCACTTCGTCCTGTACTTCACTCTTTGTTTGTCAGTCAGTCGGATGATTTGACAGGTTGTGAATCCAGATCTTAATACGGAGGTAAAACTGAAAAAAAGGTGCACCCAAGATGTCTGTAATGATCCATAATTGCACAGGAAAGCTAGACACTGGTATGGGAGGTCTAAGTTGAGCAAGGAAGTGGTTATGATGGACAGTTTGAGTCATCACTCCTCCAAATAAATGTGACTAACCTGTGTCAATCACAATACATAATACTGAGGATCATGCAATCCTGTTCACAACAGCCAAGCCCATCTGAGAAACGTTAAATGCCGATTATAGGATACAGCTTCAAACATTATGATCACGTCTGGGCTTATATAGAGGAAGTAATCCATCCCCTGCACTACAATGTCGCTTTGACCTATATGTGATACATAAAATAAAATGCAGGGGTGTTTAAAACCTGTTTGATTGTCTGACTTCTCATGTATCTTGCCCTGTTGGAGTCCTTTTTAATGATGTTACTGGATCCCCAGTTCTCAGCCTTTGTGAGAACAGTCCAGGTATTAAGGATTCTGTAATAAACAGGAATGATCCTTACAGTGTACAGTTAGTAGTGGTCAAAGAAGATACTACTTTCAGCAACAATCTCCTAAAGCATTTACAAAAACACCTGTAAGCTTTCAAAGTTTTTTTGCAATGCTTCCATCCAATGAGACACACTTTACATGTCACACTGCTGCTCTTGCAGCTGCAGGCGTGCACATTTAAATCTCATCAGTGGGTTCTCTAATCATAGCGACCCATTTAGGCGCCCCAAAACAGCACTGATATATTTCGTACTGTTAAAAGTAGATCATCCTCTGATTCCAACTCTGTCCTCAGTGGATGTGACATTGTAAGTTTTCTGTTTCGTGATGTGACACCCTTCCTTCCCTGACGTCTCGCTGCAAGCAAAGCGGAGACTCAGGCGCTGATCCTCACTCGCTGTATCTTTGTTCCTTAAAAGAAGGGAGTGCAAACCACACAAGGGATTTTTGGGGTCACTGGTCTCCCAGATGTGAGTGGTTCCTGTGAACACTTTGTATTTATGAAACATTACAGGGGTGTTTTTGATAATAAAGCAGCACCCAATTGGAATAAAATAACCTTTATTAAGCTTGAACAAAAAAATGTTTGTAACATGGCTGTATATAGGAGCCTTATCTTTCAGTTTATGTTCTGAGATCAGACATTATCTTGGCATAAAGAGTGAGAAAAAACATATTTAATCTTCTTTCAGGTCATTGCTGGATGCTCTAGTTCTGAATTCAATCCTCTATTGAAATACAAAGTCAATAAATAAATCTTAATTGTGAATCTTTATTCTCTCTAGTACGGCAAACAAAATGAATGCATGGGGGAAAAACACAAAAATGGGAATGTCGTAGAAGTATTTTTATGCCTCCTTGCGGTTTTTGTCTGGCCAATTCTCAGGAACGCCTTGAGGGAACTTATTCAAATTTGGCACAAACGTCCACTTGGACTCAACTAAAAACTGATACGATTTTGGTGGTCAAAGATCAAGCTCACTGTGACCTCACATCCTTCCCGTTCTCGTGAACGTGATATCTCAGAAAAGCCTTGAAGGGAATTTCATCATATTTGGCACAAATGTCCACTTTGACCTGTTAAAGGTCAAAGTCACTGTGGTTTTGTCCATAACTCAAGTATTTATATGCTAAATACATAAGACATTTTTACACAAATAGCTAATTGGATAAAAGATACATTTTATATGTAAAGGAGGAAGTCAGCAGGTCAACTTTAGACTTTATTGCCATCATGTGAACACATACAAGGAATTTGAAATCTGTTTTTTGTTTCTCTCAATGAACTTGCACACAAATAGACATACAGCATTGGTTTTGCTGAAATTGAGCTCCAGGTGATGGTTGCACCATGTGATGAAGCCGACTCTTTTATCAAATTCATTCAAAGTCTTTGCTACATATATGAGTCTGCACAGACATGGTTGGAGACTGACTGGTTGGTGGAGGCATGCAACCACAAGGTGAACAAGCTAATTTTCCTTGTTTAAATGTGGCACTTTCAAACAACCATGTGGATGTTTAATGGTTAATGGTATCCGTGCTGCCTGATTGGTTAAAGATGCCCTTCAGGCTGTTCTCACAAAGCACCAGTTGATATACTTTTGTGCTAATAATAGCATTAGTTGCTGCCCGAACTCTTGTGGTAACCGTGTAAGGATATAGCAAATTTCTTGTTTTTCACTCGCGTCACTACTGCAAATACTACTGCTACCATTAGTTGTATTGCACCAACTACAGTTAGCACTTCTGATAACATAAGTGAGGGTTGTATAATAATGTAATAAGCGTGTGTGTTGTGTTCATGTAAAGCTCTCACCTGGTTTTTAATATTCAGTAAAAATGACAGCTTTGGAGAAACTTGTCAACTGAACTCCTGTTATTGTTGCATAACTGCAGTAATGCCTGAAAGTAAGGCTGCTCTCTTGAGTATTATTGTGGCAGAAGATTAAATACTGGTGGACCTGCCCTTTTACTTCTGTGCTGCCATAACATTGTTATTATGCACTATACTGTGTCTTTTCTTCTATATATTTCTTTTTCTATATTAAGCACCTCCCAGAGATGTGATGAATGTTTCCCATCTGCACGAAGCCCTCAAACAGCAGCTTCAGCCCCTATTTAATCCTCTTAGACTGTTTTGTTGTTTTCCTTTAATTGAAGTCTCTGTCGGGAGTCTGTGATACTCCTGGCCCGACTAGTACTGCACATCTGTGCTCTCAGCTGAAATACTGGCTAACCTGGGGTCATGCATTTAGAAATAAAAACACCCTGGGTAGCTTACTGTGGCGAGCCGTTATATCCCTGTTTTTATTTCTCTCTCATGTACCACCTTCCTTCTTATCTTCCAGTGCTCTTCTGTTGATCTAATCACTGCCTATTGTTTTCTGTCACTTTATCTCTATATAGAGCTAAATGCTTCTCTCTCATTGTCTCCGTTATCCTAACTTGTTTTGCAGGGTTGATCTGAGGTCACGCTGCTGAGATGACTAGGCTGTGATAGTGTTTGTCGAAGTGTGTCTGTACCGGACTAATTCCTGTGACATGGCTGCTGCTAAGAAGAGTGAGTGTTTTTTTTTAAATTCTATTCATTGCCTATTGTGAATTTCCAATACCATTTTTTCCTTCCCGGTACCGATACCTGAACTTTGCTTATCACCCGATACTAAGTACCAATCCTGTGGTAACTTGCATAAAAATAATATCAGTTTCTATTAAGTGTATACTAAGCCTGTATGATTGCTATCATGGCCTGGCTCAGGTTAAACCCTTTGTCAGAGTTAGAGTCAGAGTAGATTGGGTCATGACTTCGCTATCCTGGGGGGGAAATGACTGGGCTAATAAATTCTGTGGTATTTGATTGTTGCACAAGACGCATTTTAGGCAGCATCGGAGGAACTTCTAAGTCTTTTGGTAGTACTTAACTTGTTTCTATAGCTTTGGGAAGCTGTGGAAACCATTTAATGCTGCTTTGAGGCAAACGGGGCAAGCAGTAGTTAATATTTAAGATGTAGGCAGCTTACTGATTGTCTCAGGATCAAGTCTCGTGTTTTTGTTGAATAAATTCATTGCGTGGCAACAGGCTACAGAATTAATTGCATACATTTATTTGAGGGGAAGGGAGGTAGGAACAGAGAAAAACAGTCTGCTGTTCCTGAATCCAGATTTCCCATATGCCTATCTAATTAATTATTTCATCTCTGCTCCTTGACATTTGAGTTTAAAGTTCATCAGAATCAAAATACTGAATCCAGTCACATATAAGTCAAAGGCACATTGTAGTGCACAGGATGGATTACTTCCTCTATATAAACCCAGAAGTGATCATAAAGTTTGAAGCTGTATCATATAATCTGCTGTACGTGAATTCAACTTCCTCAATCTTCCCCCGGCATTTAACGTTTCTCCGATGGACTCGGATGTGGTGAAGAGGACAACAGGTTTGCATGATCCTCAGTATTATGTATTGTGATTGAGAGCCCCAAATGAGCCTTTTCACCAGTGAGACATCCTGGAGGCATTCCAGGAAGGTTAATCAATACATTTAAATTCACAATTGATTTGTCCTTTCAGTTGGGTTTCTTGGGAAAAGGTTGCAGTGAGATGATGTCAACAGCTTTACGACAGATTATGTGAAGGCAAGCAAATTTACTTCCTCAAAAGCAGGATGGGCTCAACAAAAAAAAGAATCACTGGGAGGGAAAGCAAGACCTGGAAGAGAGCTGTAAATGACTCATCATGTTATTTTTACTACTATGAATATGCTTCATGTCGTCCCCAGTGGAGTATGGGTACTTGTTGTCTTCAAGGACCACTCTTCAAGCCTTTGTTCTCTTCGATAAGGTCATTGAATGAAGGGCAGTGAAAAGGGAGCATCTCTATTGACTTGTTTTTGGCGGCATTTTGTGTTTCTCATGTGTCTGGGATGGACCGAAATGTCACAGGAACAGGTATTGTTAAATTATTTTTACAGGGAGAGGTAGGAGTGTGTTGCCACCTTTTGGGAGAATAGTATTTCACAAAAGGGAGCTCAGAAGCTTCAATTGTGTAGTCTTTGGTTTTGTTCTTGTTTCCTTGTTTGCAAATATATCTGCCAGTGCCATGACAGTTGTCCACACTAATGTAAAAAAAATCTGAACATGTTCTTTTTTTTTAGATTTTTGAAACCCTCTGTTAAGTGGAGAAGTTGAGAAATTGAGCAGCCTGTCATTACTTTCAGTGTGAACAGGGAAAACAGAGCATTGTGTAAAATGAGACCAACTCCTGTCAACTGTCACCTTAAACTTTCTTTGTAATCACTTATTTTGCATGTTAATATAGCCAGTCATACTCTATGGGTGTCATTGACATGCATTTGTGTTAAATAGTAGGAGGTAGGAAGGAGAAGAGATGCAAAAGGAGAAGGGTAGACAGAGATGGATTTGTGTGATCTGACTGTTAGGCTGGCAAGCATTGAACTTAATTGAATTTGTGTTTTACAAATGCTCCCAGTCCCAGGTGTGTTTAATAATTCACGTGTTCACCAGCTGGAGAAGCTTGTGAATTTACAGTGGGAGGAGAGATGACTCAAAAGAGGAAGAAAACCTAGACAGGGTTCAGGGAAGAAAGCTAACAGAGCACTGTAATATTCAGCAGAGCGGAGGCAGATATACTGACAGACAGATTAGTGGAGGGACAGAAGTAGATGGAGATTAATCTGAAATAAGCCAGTTCAATGGGGCGTGCGTGTACATGCACAAGTGCATATTAATTTGTGTGTGCACATGCATCTGTGTGGTTATGGGTCTGCTACTACTGAAGAGAGTAAGTGTGGGTAATTGTGTGTCCCTGCTCTGGCTTTGTCTGAGATTATCTGACCCATCGGAAAGGCCACAGATCTCAGTATTGCGATAATGAGCCCGTCACAGGGTCTTGGCCCAGAGATCTGCTACTGCTTTGATTCTGTTTGTGTGTATATATAGTGAAAAAAGTAAAGAAAAGTCAGAGCTGAAAGAGTAAGGACTGAAATAAAGCAGTGCGTGTCAGTGACAGATATGTTTTTCCTGCGCAAACAAGTTAGCCACCAGCTGCCCAACAAATTAATAACCAAAGTGATGACAATGTAGATGAGCCCTGTAGTAGTAGGAGGGTCCAAAGGGAGGCAGATGATATTGTTTACATTGCACAGTTAGATGACTTGTTCACCTTCTAGGCTTTAGTCGTCAATACAAGACGAGCATCTTTGCCTTTCTCAGACTGTGTTCATAAAAATTCAAGTAGAGACAACAACTCTGATGCATTTTGGCAGGAAACATCAGATCACTGAGTTTAAAACTCAGTTATTTCTGCCAAAAAAATAAATAACAGCAAGCTGTAGCTTAAAACTTACCTTTTTCCAAAGCAAATCACATAATTTGCAGCTTCACTGAATTTCCTTTCTGGTTCAACTTTGGAGGAATTATGGGGCCAAGCCTTGAATGTGCTATAGCTGTGATTCGTGCCTCGGGCTGAAGGAAAAAACTGAATTTCTCAGAAACTACTAGGTGAAATAATTCAAATTAATTGCCATCATGTATTAACTTATAGTATTGTGACATTATCCAGGTAATCCCTGTGTATCTGTAGACGACCGTTGAGCACATTAGTAACTTTGAAATTGGAGTTGTTAATAAGAAAAAAAAATGTGTTCCCTCTTTACAACTGTATACAAATATTAGAATAAAATAAAGTGAGGACATAGACAGTTTAATTAAGCTTAGATACATTTTCTGAATTTTATGACTTAAAGAATCATTATTATTAGAAGATTAGCAGAAGCAGACCAGCTATACCCACCAACATCATGGCTGGTTGAGACAATTGAGTTGACTGTGTGCTGCTCTACCATATGTTTTGAGACATGGTTGACTGTAATGCTGGTTCACACACACACACACACACACACACACACACAATCACAGTATCGCAGCAATCTCTCCGCTTCGGGGCATTTCTCCCTTTTAAGGAAGCAATAAATTAGCTGAGCTGAATATCACATTTCTTGAACTGATAATTTCTCACTTTGGAAAGAAAGTTCGTTTAGACATTAAAGCCACATCTCTTTATATGTTCCAAACTCCAAAGGGTATAAAGTACCCTTTTAACATCTAACTACTGATAGACTGGCTTATAGTATGAAAGCCCGCCATTATTAAGCCCAGTGTGTGAACGTAATTACAGTCATGGAGCCTTATTGTAGGAAATTCTAGACTTCATGCATAAAGCCTCGTATAGCAGGAGTAGTGACCTTAAATAATTTCTCCCGTCATGTGATTGGATGAACTTACAGCTTAAGTCTCTTGATCCAGTCATCAGAAGAGTCTTTCTACTCTGGGTAGAAGTCTTCGTGGATACTTTAATTGGTGTGTGATGTTTAATGCATACTAGGAGTTGCTTTTTTTGGTGATAAATGTTTTTAATTTTTGGTTTAGCCACTGTCTCACAGCTGGCCACAAAGGAAAAACCAGGAAGAGATTGCATAAACTGTGCACAAAGTAGACTCATCAAGTTTAATAATGAAACTCATATTTATCACCTTTTCCTTATTTAGTGTCTTTCACTTAATCTTTCACTGCGAGCCAGCGGAAATCACAACATCTCATGGTCTGAGTCAGAAGCTCTTGAATTTGATTCCTTCCACTTTGCTACAGAATTTAATTTTGTTGGATGGAGCTTTTTATTTTTTTATTTTAATGGTGCCATTCATCAAGGATGGTGCTCACTTGAGGTGCACTGAAGGCAACAGGTGTCGAGAGTGCAGAAAGTAACACTAGTGCTTTCCAATGCACCAAGTGCACCTAATAAAAGGGCGCCCATGTGAGTAGTTTGGTGCTTTTAGATCAGCTTGTCTCTGAAGTGCAGTATGAGTGCTGTGGTCTAACTGTTGCAATTAGAGCAGTGTCTCACAAATATTTTGGTGGCGCCAAAACTGTGGCAGGCAAAATACATTGTTGGGCTGTGGAAAACATTTTCCAGCATGCGAGATATAAATTATAATTATTGTATAACTTTAAAATTGCAGCTGATAGAAATACCATCCTGTAGCAATGTAATAATTTTATAACTGTCATTTTCATTATCACTGAATCTTTTGACTGTTTCTTTGATAAGTCAGTTAATCCTTCGGTTGATAAAATGTTAAACAATCGTTAAAATATAGATAACAGGAACCCAGAGCCTAAGATGACATTTTCAGATTACTGTTTTAATAGTTCATATGAAATGTATTACAATATAGAACAGAGATAAGCAGCAGATTCTCACATTTAAGAAGCTGAAACTAGAGAATGTTAGGCATCAAAATCTAAAATTGTAAAACACCTATTAATAACTTCCCCCTTAAATATAGGAATTTTCCATGAAAACACAGTCAGATAAGAAAACTCATTTCCAGATATTGACCTACGCTGACTCGTGTTATCCTTTATCTGGATTTGGTGGAGACCTGGGAAATTGCGCTGTCTAGGATAATAGGAATAAGACATAAAGTGTCTTTTAGGTCACTTTACATTGCATATATATTGTTAATAGTGCAAGATGCTCTGGGATATCTTTTGTATATAGAGCCTCAGATATTAAACAACATTTTACACATCCCCCACCACTCATTTCCAATTTCTATTTCAACACGGTGATCCTGCACATATGGAACATTATGTAACTCCTGAACTCATTATTGTGACCCAGATTGCTGATAGCAAGGATTTCTAATCTCTAATATGAGTCCGTATAAAAGTGTAATGGAACTGGATCCAAGTGGGACATGTGCTTCATGTAATGCAGAGACATATGTTAACATATGAATTCAATTAAGTGCATTAGAGCAATTATACACGGTGGAATTAACTCTTCAGTATTAACTAAAATGTACTTGAAACTTTCAAACACTGAGGTATGATGAACTTTAACATAATTTGAACAGTTTTACATCCCTTCCATGTCTCCGTTATTGGATTCAGAGTAAGCAAGGATTGTTCCAGCGATGTGTAATTTAATTAAAAAGTCTTCATGTGCTGTTGTTTTGGAATAGGAAATTCATTATGTTTCTATCGGTTTGATCTTCAGGATAAATGTTACATTATTAGCAGGTTCTTCTTTTTTAATCTTAATAATTAATACAGCACCGGTTTTATCTAATGTTTACCTGACATGGGTTGGCAGAGAAAGTCAGATTATGCTTTTTTTTGGCAAAAAATTGCTGTTTTGCTGACTTCAAGGAATATTTCTGGTCCAGATATGAAGAGGAAGAAATGCCTCTGCCAATAAATATGAATAAAGGGAAGGGCATATCTCAAGCTTTATTTTTGTATAAATACATAAAAGAAAGAAAAGTTGGCAAGAATACCTGATTAAAGTTTAAATTGGAGGTAAAAACTTTGACTTGACTTTGAATTTGAAGTTTGACATTTCAAGTTAATATTTGAAAAAGAAACGTGTTATACATTTTTTAAGTTTTTGGAGAAGAAGGCATGAAGTTGGTATAATTAAAAAACTCTTATGTCAGTGTATATTTAAAGTAATAACTTCAGTTTCTTAAACACAATGATTTAATCCAGTCATCACTGTCTTTTAAATGAGAAATTTTAATTGTGTTCCATCTGCAGCTTGACTGCTGTGCACCAGCCTTGTTTTGTAGCCAGTGTTAATTAAGCCCACATCCAGCTTACTGAATTAATAATGATGAATCCAGATACCTGTTCAGCGTGTTCGCTATCACATCCTGTGAGTCTGGACACAAATACACACGAGCCAGAGAAGTAGTGCCAAAAGACCTGCTTCCAGAGTTAAGTGCATTTTTATTTCAGAAGGTGATTAGGTGTTTAAAATCAGAGCTAGATACACATATTTACCCTTCGTTGTCACACAGCACTTGATAGAGTTGGCAATTTGTAACATTGGCTACAAAACAAAGCTTCAGGAAGGTGGACATATTGCTGAGTGAAGCACCTTTTTGAAGTTTTTGAATAAATTGAGAATAATTGGAAAGATGGTAATAGGACACATGGTGGCCAGGAAGTGAGAGTGAAATAGACACAGGGGGACTCTGGATATGGTAATGTCATAGTCACACACACACACACACACACACACACACACACACACACACACACACAAAGAGTCTCTCGGGAAAATGGTGTGAGTGATGGATGAGTCCCAGTGGCTGGTAAAGGAAAACCTTCTGTAAATAGAATATTTAATAAACATTTAAAAAGTTTGTTTAAATATAGCAGATAAGTACAACATATTCTTTGTACTGTTTATCTATCCCTTGGTTTTAAGCTTCTCTACACGTTTTACTTTCCTTTAAGGTCTGGGAAATTGATGTTCTATAATGAGATCCAAAAGCCCTTTGAGCTTAAATTCAGACAAGTTGTTTGTTGTCACAGAGAATTATTGGGTTTTTTTTTTTCTTTGAGAGGAGGGTTTTTTATTTTGAGAAGAAGTTTCCATTCTCCTACACTGGGAATAAATGCCTGGGCAGAAGAACAATAAATATCAGTGTGTCTCGGTGTCATAGGAGAGGGAATAATATGTTTAGCCTGTAAGCCTAAACCTGTTTAGCTCCTTTATTTTGGCACTGAGATCCCATGGAGACTGGCACAGGGGACTCTGTAATCTAATTTTATTGAAAAGGGAAGTTTGATGGCACATTGAATTTGCCAGCACTCTGAGATCACCTTCATGAATGAATTTCTTTAAAAGGCCGTATTTTTTGTTGTTTATCTCTTGGGTTTAAAATCTACTAGAGCTACCAGTAGCCTGTATCCGGTGCCAATACTCATACATACAATATGTAAATATTTAAACGAGCTGTTGCAAAGCAAAAAAGCTTTTATGCAGTTGTGCTAAGTGAGGAAACTCCATCATATCAGACAGTTGTTTGTATTTATAAAAAATATTACCAAAACACCATTATATATTGGCTGTGTGGTATCACCTTTCTACCATTTTTCACTCCAAATCATCTACTTTGTCTCAGACTTTGTCAACATTTCTCTTTATCCTTTTCTCCTCTTAAATTTTTGGGCTTTTTTCTCTCTCCTCCAACTCTTCTGTTTTATCGTCTCCTTTCTCTGTTTACCTTTGATCTCTCTTTCTCTCCCTGAGCATTCAGACTACCACTACAGCTCTGAGTGATTGCTTGTGTAAAGTGCTCTGCTGTACCCTCCACTATATCACTGAAAGGAGCGGACAGGCAGTTTAATGCGTCCTTTCCCACTTTAAAAGGATCCAGTGAGAATGTCTGTGTACATGTCCGACCTTCAGCAGCTCTTCCCTCTCACTCAGGTTGTGCGAAGGGAGGAGGCGTGCGCTTCTCAGAGGAACCCCCCGCTGCCGGAGCCCCATCACATGTTCACTTCGACGAAAAGCTGCATGACTCCGTCGTCATGGTGACTCCGGAGGATGACGGCAACTTCATGGTCAAGGTGCGTTTAACCTAGTAATAGCCTGACACTGGATGGCATCAGTGGACGAGAAGATCTGTTAGACATTTTCACATTTATAACAACATTTCTTGTAGGTTTAATATTCTCCAGGGTTACGTGTTTCTGAACATTTAGACTGTTTTCTTGTTCCTCTTTCTTAATTAAATTAAAGAAGAAGAAGAAGAGAGAGGACAGAGACAAAGATGCACAGCAATAATAATAGCAACAGGTATACTAGTAGAAATGACTAATAATGACGATGATTACTGCACCACTACCAAACACACCCCCCAAAATCAGTCTCTGCTGTTGGTTCTGTTTGAAATTCAGGTCTAGGTCTATTTGTAGGGATCAAAATTGGTGAGATTTTATTGATACCAATGCCATTATAGATTCTACTTATTGGTCTGATTCTTTATCAATTCCCTTGTTGATTATTTTTTAATTTGTCTGTGTGGGGAAAAAAAGTAGGCCTACACAGATTTTGGGCATCAGTCAGTCACTCAGTTACACCTGTGAGTAGAGTGTCAAATACATGACAGTCCTGGCATGTAAGCCCTTGTTGCATAGAAAGTGTTTCAGCCTATTGCTGGTGTGAAGTGAAGTCAAGCTTTGGGCTGTTCCTTCTCTTTTCCACCACGGCTCAGCATAGACGCATGAGGTTGACGTTATTGTTTTAAAATGCGCCAGGATGCCAGGATTGATAAGGTCGGAGGCATACGATTCCAATGGATCAGACATTTCTCGATTTCCATCCCTATGTATTTGTGATTTCAGTAACAGAGAAGACCTTGCTCCAACCTCTTACCATCAGTGTTATCTTCAATCACAGCACAGTCACATATTACAGTTGGCCCACCATAACATGCTGTGAGCTGGGAGGGCTTAATGTTTATGGCCGACAGACGGAGGTTGAGATAAATCAATTTTGTACTCTGTTTTCTGTTCCTGTCAGCTGTGTGATGTGATCACAGGGCAGAATAGTCAATCCAAGAGGGATGGTAACAGTCAGAGGTTTTATTTGAACCCGACTGCTGTAGTCTAAAAAGCAAGCATGTGAATACTGAACATTGGACACAAGTTGTGCCAACATCTAAGTGAAGTTATTACTAAAATTATGATCTTTATTGGAGTGTTAAATTATAAGAATACCAAGATAGTTGTCAAATAATAAGATAGTTATTCCCAGTTTAGTCTGGCTAGTTTAGATTTAGCTTATGAAGGTGCAGTTAACTGGGCGTAAATACAATTTGTTGAATTGTTGTAACATAGACAAAATATTTTTTAATAATTAATTTTATGACACATTTGTTTGTTTTTTTAAATAACTGAAGTTGTTGATGTAAGTTACTAAACTAAAAAAAAAAAATTCTCTCCCAAATCAAGAGAACTAACTGGTTTTAATAATCAATATATGTTTTATGAAAACAGTTTAACTGTTATTGAAGGTCCTTCATCTGCAGCTCAAGTCATGACTTTAAATGAGCTGCAAAACTGTGATGTTAATCTAATTGTTGTCAAGTTTAGAAATGTGTTGCTGTACTTGCAAATGTTGCTATCCCATAATGATCTGGCATGAATGAATTTAGTTAGAAGAAGTTGCACTGAAATACTGGAAATGTTTGGGGGCGTTTCTGTATAAGATAATGATCTGGCATCGTCACATGCTGATCAAAAATGGTCTGCGGTAGTTTTCTGCCCAGCCTGCAGACATTATTCAGTCTCCATCTGCTTCATGGACACCATGTTCTCTACAGCAGATAACTTAATCCAAGTCCAAGTTAATTGTCCTGTCAGTGTAATAATATTTTTGTGGATAAACGCCGGACACACTGTATAAATATAAGCAAACAGAGGCAGTTAGGACAAGTTTATATCATTTGATCTTCAGATTATTCAATCTAGTGGTACTCAATCTAAATAAAAGCCCAGGCCAAACCAAGCTACAATACTAAAAATGTAAACACACGTATTACTGCAATGAAAGTAATCATTTGTGAAGCAGATATTAAATAAGTTCAGTTCTCTTTTGAAAAACAAACACTACCTACTCACAAACTGTATAGCCCACTGACCCTGAACGTCTTGTAATTGGTCATAATTAGGGGCTTGACTTCCCTGGGTAGTAGATATATTAGAAGGTAACTCTTTGATCTAGTGGAGCAGTCCCCTCAGTTTCTATGAACATTGATAGGCTTTTATCTGCAAAATATCCAGGAGAAGATTAAAGTCTTTTCTCATCACCGTTAATCTCCTCTGTCGGCTATAAAGGCAGAGAACAATGATATCAAACTTCTCATCTGTTCTCTGCTGCCAGCTCTTAAACCCTAGTGGTGCTTAACTTAGGAGCCAAACAACGGCAACAGAAGGTGCCAAAGGCTCCGAAACTTAAAAAAACTAAACTGTAATATTAGGAGGATGTGGAAGAACTTAACTACTGTGTCTAAAATTTGACAGTGACCATTAACTTGTCTCAGCTGTAGAGAGTTAATTAACATTGATGTTGATGCTGATGATCATAATGCTAATGAAGGGTTGCAGAGATGAAACACTGTATGTCTAATTGCACAATTAAAACATATCTCATTTATTTCTGAGAGATTTGTTCTTTTTCTACAGCTCTTTAATCCTACCGTGTCCTAGAAGCAGTTATTCACAGCTTTTTACATCTTTTAAATTGGTATTGTTGTGAACATGCACCATCCACCATTGCACCATTATTAGCAGTGACATTATCAGGAGAAATACGAGAAATACTTTGCAGCAAAAAGCCTTGGCTGGATTTTAGCCATGGGCATGAAGGTTGTTTTAACTTCAGGAGCCTTTTGAGACTTCAGTGGTACCCGAAGACCTCTTTTATTTGTGAAACTGTGCAGGTTTTAACTATGCTAGTGGCATGGTTGTATGGATACAAAGTTGGTCTGTTGCTCTACTATTTTGATCCAGACAGAAATACCCCAACAACTATTGGATTGATTGCCATAAGATTTTGTACAGATGCTCATTGGTTTGTGTTTACTTTGGTCATTTTCTAACCAAATTCTCAGCCTCAAGGATATTTAGCAGATGTTAGCATGCTAAACTTTGAGTGGTAAGTATAGTAGACATTATATACACTAAAAAGCCTGTTAGAGTGCTGATGTTGCTTGGCTGCAGTCTTGTTTTTAGATGTTGGATGAGGACACTAAATACTTTAACAATGAGAACATTGTCTGCAGATGAATAATTGTGCCTAATGTGAAAGCAATTCACAAGCACTGATTTAAGTGTTCAAGAAAAGACGTACACTCAGGCAGACGACCGACCACAAGATTTATCTAACAAGTCATGGATTTGTTTCTGTTTGAGTGGTTGGCACACAAAATCAAGTGTATCTCAAGTAGCTCATGTTTTTGGAGTGGCTTTTTAAAAGATTTCCTGCCTGCAGGTAGAAAATGTCCTAGAATCGTTTATATCAATATTACAGAATGAATTCAGCCGTCTTTATTCTCTCGTTCTCTCCTTTTCACTGCCACTGAATAAGCTCAACCTTCTCGCTTTAGTTGAGAAATTCAGTAACCCAGGCGGTCCTTTTTTCTTTTCTTTTCTTCTGTGGATTTAATAACACATTTAAATGTAAATATGACTTTCACAGCTTGAATATACGAGTGCACTAGACTTAGATGGTATATCTGCTTTAACAGACACCAAACATATTCAGAAGGCTTTCAGGTCAGCCCTCCTCTTCTGTTATTTCTCAGTTATTCCAAAACCCCACAAGGAAAGTTCTGTACATGCTCACTGTAACTAAGCCTTTCCAAGCTTTGAAACTAATTCACAGCCAAATCAATTTGCTTAAAAGCTGTGTGTGCGTGTGTAGATGGACTACAAACTTGGCTGTTCACAGTTACAGAGCAGCCTCTATGTGTGAGTGTGTGCATGTTTATCGAAGCTCTTTATGCGTGTTTGAGAGTGGGCACAGAATACTGTCAGCCCAGCGTCGTGGCTCATCGCGGAGCCGAGAGGGGTGGTGGTGTTGCTATGGAAATGGCTGGGGTGGGTTGGCGATCCTCGCAGACAGACCAAAGATGAGGTGGGAGTGTGTGGGATGGAAGCGGCATGCGTACAACAGCTGTATGAATACCAGTTTAGATGGAGGTTATTTAAATTTCACAAACTTTGTGTAAATGCGGCAGGCGGGTTCACGTGGCACAAAATTCTTGTTAATTTTTCAGTGTCTATGTTCTGGTGTCTGATTAAGATCGTGAAGAGCTGCTTGGAAATGAGCAGCTGTCAGTGCTACAGAGATCAGTTAAAGAGGTGTTGCTGCCGAGGCCACACTTTTTTGTGACTCAAATTATTTGCGTGACACAGGGCAGCCAAGCAAGTGTTTATGAACTTTCAGATCATGTTTATGAACTTTTTTCAGTAGGTTTACATTCACTATTAACTATAATTGTTACCAGATTGCTTTATTGAAACAATGGAAATTGAAAAAGGCTATATTTTTTTTTTTTTTTTTTTTTTTTTTTTTTTTTTTTTTTTTTTTTTTAAATAAAAATTTTTTATTTTTGAAGGGGTTTAGGTGTTTTTTTAAATTTAAATTCTTACCAAATTTATAAAAATACACCATCTACTGTTTTAAATCACCCTGAACCTTGCAAGGCCAATGCTGACATAGAGTCAAGTTTGAAACCTATTTACATACTGACATTTACAGAAAATTAGAGGCCGCTCACCTCTCCCAGCTTTGAGTGGAAGTCTGTTAAACTAGTTGTAGAAGCACCATCAGACTTGATCCCACTCACTTGCAGACACACATACATATAATGGGGGGGTTGGCCTCTCTGAGCTGTTAGCTTCACTACTACAGAAGCACCACAAGGAAACTTGAACAAATGGCCATGAATGTGCTTCTAGTGACTGTAAAGGTACAGTGTACTCTGTGCTAGCTGTTCCTGCTACATAAAATGCAACATAAAAGCCATTAAATTTGACCCCAAATCTTATTTTAGTATATTTGATTTGATACAGTCTGCATTGGTTCCCTCAATTACCTTTTTGGCCCGTGTACTCAGAGCGCTGACAGAGATCAGACCGAAGGGTTTACATACCACAATAATTCTGAAAGTTCAGTAATGTTGGTGTGTTTATCAATTTATGCTTACCCTGCTTGTGACTGTAAATCAAGTTAGATAATGCTTAAGAATGTTTCTATTTGGAGTCACAACAAAATTAATGTTATATTCCAGCATTGCCAACAGCTGTAAACCAGAATTTAGCTCACAAATTAGAAATCAATGGAGAGTCATTTTTTCCTTCCAGTGACATCTCACATGTAAGAATCTTATGTTCATAAATACTGACTGGATTGTCTTGGTGAACTTGATGTACAAGTTCATAAAATGTGTGGTATTCCCCTTCAAGTTGATGAAAGAATTGCATCATTGTTTTGGATGAATGCTGAGTTGTTTTTCTTTTCTGGGTGTGTCCAACTTCCAGCGTTACACATAGTACCTCTTTAGAAATTACACATTACTGTCGTTTGGATTATCCAGAATACCATTTCTGGGGCTTCGTAGCTTCAGTCAGAATAACCCAGGAATACATTAGTCTCATTGTTTACCTCACATTTTAATTCAAATGTGATGTGAAAACAGTCCGAGAAAGTAAAAGTTTTGCGCCCTGCTCATAGTTTCAGTTATAAAATCGCAGCACACCACAGTGTCTCTCTCTGGAGTCACGCTGCCCTCCGTTTCTATCACACCTCTCTGCTTCCGTTACAGTTTACTTTCGTGGTTTGTGGTCATTTTAAGACTTGGTTTTCAACACAAAAACAGTCTTCATTGCGGATGAGTCCCCCTCCTCCTGCCTGCTCTACTGAGGTACCACCCCTTGCCTAAACCAAACAAAGTATTTCAGGTGAGCGAGGGCAACGTTGGGAAATGTCTAAAGTTCATAGGAAGAAGAGATGCACTCCAAAGGTGTTGATGAGTCAAGGATGCAAACAGGAAAGCAAACACTCTACTACAGTTGCCAGCTGTGAATAACAGTCCTCATTTCCTCTCCACCACTCAAGAGCACAGGGATCAGGTTTTAACCTGTCTTTGAGAAACAAAACAAAGCATTTGAATCCTGATTTGGACATAGAGTGCAATAGTTCCGTATCATACAGGTCAGCCCTAACATACACACAGTGGATTTGTAAACTAGAAATACTTTAAATTGCTTACTAACTTAAACATTTCCATTCCAGTTTTGGTCAGCACCATTGAAGTCTTTCTCAACCTCTTTTTGTCCAAGTCTGCAGTGTTAAATTCAAACTAAATGAATTTTTCAGCAACAGTTCACAGTCTCTGGACATGCATGGTGCTACACTCACATAATGATTTTTGTTTTTCTCTGCAGTTCTCTTCACTGTTGCCTCTCTTTCTCTCTTCATGCTGTTTGCAGGCTCTGCTCTGCACACTGCTTTAACCAGGGGTCGTGTGGGGCTGAAGCTGCCGTTTGCAGCTCTAGCTGCAGGGGCTTTATGTTTATCTCTCCTCGCTTGCACTTCCCTGCAGTCTCCTTCTTTCTCTCACTCTCTCGCTGTCTCTCTTTTTACCTGTCTCCTCTGTGAGGCTTTCCACACTCCTCTCTGTGGTGATTCCCTCATGAATTTTTCTCTTTGCAATATATGAGGCTGCTAGCTCTACATCATCCCCTCTCTCTGCCTCTCTGTTGGTCTTTCTCTCGCTTACTGACCAGTCTACTTTTAAATTTTGCTTCTGCCTATGGGTAATATGAATTGAAAAAGCATGAATTGTGCTGTGTGCAGCAGTATCAGGACATAAGTGACATACAACCTGATGGATGATCTTATATAGGGCTGCGACTTTCATTAGCGATTCATCTGTTGGTGATTTTTTGTATGAATTAATTCTAAAATGTCAGAAAACAGTGAGTAATGCCCATCACTAGCTCCTAGATGCAGATCCAAAGTCTTTGAATTACTTGTTTTGTCCAACCAGCTGTCCCAAAACCCAATGATATTCAATATTCAGTGATATAAATCAGAAAAGGCAGCACACGTTCACATTTGAGAAGCTGGGAACCAGATAATGTTCAGTGTTTTTTGCTTAATAAATGACTTGGAAAGGTTTAATCAATCATGAAAATGGTTGCTGATTAGTTTTCTGAACTAATTGTTTTTGTGGCTAGCAGTCCCATTAACTTGAATAATTGATGGTAAACAGTAGCATGGACATTATTATTACCGTTAATGGAGAGAATGAAAGTTCATTCTTGACATTGGGAACCAAAAAAATCATACCACAGCCAAAAATTCACAGGTGACACCTTCCAAATGATTGTTTTGTTGAAGCAACAGTCCACAAAAAAAAAGATATTCAGCTTATAATGATAAGAAACAGAAGCAGAAGATTATTATATTGGAAAACCTGACAACACAGAATATTTGACTGCTTTTGCTTGAGAAATGACTGTACAGTTCATTTTCTGTTGATCGACTAATAACTGCAGCTCTAGCTGTGGTTGTGCTGAAGATGAACAAACATATTCATTGCTACCACACAGATAAATCCATGCCAACTGCTTATTTTTATAAGATTTCTGCTCTTTACAAACCTAGAGTTTCTTCCTTCTTCTGGGGCTTCCGTGTTGGCCTACATGTTTTTAGGAAAGTCCCCTACTACAGCCTCCAAACGGATGTAGAAGGTGAAACCATGAATACGATTTTAACTCTTGAATTACTGACAAATCTACTCACATGGGATTAGTATTATTGGAAGATTTTGGAGTTGAGTGAAATCCAGAAGGTGATTTAGTTTTATTTCCCGACAGGCAAAAAATTGCCAATCTGGCAGAGGTGAGGGGATTAAGATCACCAGAGCAATAACTAATGATTTCAATTAGAGGACTCCCTCAAGGAAAACCCAGCCCAACAGTGTAGTGCTTATGAGAATTACTTATCCATGTTACTCATAAAAATTAATCCTTTATTTATTGAGCTGTAATGCCCTTCACACTATTCAATGTGAGGCCAAGCCAAAGCCTTTTCCCCTCTGTATAAATCCCTCTCTCCATTATTCTCCTCTCGACCCACCACTCTCTCCCTATGTTACAGTCAGATTATTCCCAAGTTTGTGGGAGAGAGAAAGGGGGGCATTGTTTTTCCTCCTAATCACAAAATCTTTACTTGACCCTTTGCCTTTCAGCTTTCTAAATATCCCCCCCCCCTCTCTCTCACATGGTAGGTTGGCTTCCTAAAGACGCAGCACCGGTATGAAATAGTGTTCACCTTGCCTGAGGTCCCAGCTCTGGGGAAGGATGTGTGTCCAGCACCAGTACCCAGTCCACACCTCCGGATCACTGATATCACACCGGCACCAGAGGGTAAGAGATAATGAGAGAGAGAGAAAAAACAAAACCTGAATAAACACAACAGAGTGTGCAACTAAAACAGCCTCTGCAAAATATAAAATGTTGGAGCAGAACATTTCTAACAAACAAGGAAACAAGCTGCTCTCTTAAGCTGCATTTCCACTCAAAGTACCAGGAACTTTTAGTCCGAAGAACTGTGTCACTAAAAGCTTCCTGTTGTTGTTTTATGAAAAAGTGACGGCTGCTATTACACGTAATTTCTCAGTCCATCTGTTGTATGCTTTCGTCTGTAAATTCAGTAAATTTGTCTAAGCTGTAGACTTTTATAAATTGTGGCTGAAATATATCGGAAAGTATCTACTCCTGGAGCAGGAACTCTTTAGGGGGTTAATTTAGACGCTGGTCCCTGAAGTGGGAACGCACTGTGTTCCTCCAAAGGTTCCTAGTCTCTGGGGAAAGTTCTTATGGTGGAAACTGGCTTTACTACTTGATTAGCACTGGTTCCCAACCTCTAGGACCAGTACTGGGTAGGTCATCAATTTAGGAGGAAATTTGTCCGTTATCACCCAACTACTCGAACTGTGTGTCCTATGTTCCTATTACTTTTTCAACTAATTAGCTTAAATAAAAGCACAATGATATTGCTCTCAATCCCCCCAAAATCATCTAGCAAATAACAAATAGGGATTCAATTGAACATCATGCCGTAATAGTAGTAGTGATAATACCAAAAACAGCTTCTTTTTAGGTGAATTATTTGTCAATAAAGACTAGTGTCTGCAGCCTTCCTTTTAGGCTGCATACAGCTCCAGAGTTCCACAAGAGGCTGTTTTGTTAAGTGTGTGTGTGTGTGTGTGTGTGTGTGTGTGTGTGTGTGTGTGTGTGTGTGTGTGTGTGTGTGAAGCCTGAGAGGCAAAATCCAGGGCAAAAATGACCTGCAATCACTCGCTACTCCTCTAAAGCTTAATTGCTGTGAGTGCCCGTTAATAACTGAAAAGCATATTAACATTTTGATCAACTCAGAGCTTCTCCCATCTGGACACTAATAGAACACTGTTTAGAGGTATTTTAGTAAATTAACAGCAACTGTAAAAGTGAGGGGCACATGTTCCCCCCCCCTATTGCTAGTGGGAATTACACCCTGTAACAGCACACGTGGCAGTTGTAATTTATATATTTATATGTATATGTATATTTATTTTGGGGGGCTTTTGCCTTTATTGGATAGGACAGCTAAAGAATGGCAGGAAATGGGGGGAGAGAGAGAGAGAGGGGATGACGCACAGCAGAGGTATTGGAAACCACTGTTGAAGCCTCGAAATTCCCTTATTGTATCTGCACTAATGGATAAGATCCTTTGTCAACACCAGACTTAAGGATTTCTTAGTAATGCAGCCCGACTGATACTGTTTGATATGAAATATTAGACTTTTTAAAAAGTCCAATAATGGCATATATCATATTTCTTTGCACCATTTTTCACAAACATGAATTATTATGAACTGAACTAGACATTTTCCAGTTTAAAAAAATCAACTTTCTGGTGGACAAACTTTGTAATGGTCACATAGTTCCTAAAACACTAATATATATGCAATAAGCTTTCAATTTCTGACATTTAATCCCTCCCACACTCTGTACTGCTAAAGCCAAGATGTAAATGGAACAGAAATATTATTATTCCAGTATGTTGAAGAGAGTAGAAGTTCGTGTCTGCTCTCTTTTCTAATTTTCAATCTGCTCTTGTGAGAATGTTCCTCTAGTTCCTACAAGCTGTAAACAGTTCTCAAATGGCATTCATTATTTAAAATATCACATCACATTGTGCCTTATCTCGAATTATCTTCCTCAGCTGCAGACAATGCAACATTCATTCTGAGTGTAATACACAAATGCACAAACAAGTCTAGTGTGTGCCCGTTTTTAGTTGCAGGCGGACCTAAGTGAAATACTTTGCAAGTAATTCTCAGCGGCATTGTTAAAGGCTGCACGGAGTACCAGATGGCTGAGGATTACAGCAACAGACAGTTCAGATAGTGTTATCTCCGAAATCCGTCTCTGAGGAATCATAAAAAAAGCAAAACTGACTTTCAAACACTTTCCTGTGTTGGTCTTGAGTTCCTTTCACTTGTGCTATTCTGCGTGATGAACCCTGAATACCTGATACCTGCGTGGGGCTAAAAAAAGCACTTTGTTCGAAGAGTAACAGCGAACTTGAATGTGTGTGAGTCTAGACCACTAAACCTGCTAATTTGGGCTAAAGGTGATCCTCTAATGTGATCCTCTAATGGGCATGCTTCTGGGAAGCATGCCCATTAAATGCCTGTAACTGAAGCAGGTTATTGACCTTTACTTTCAGCTTACTGCCACACCCTTTATATTACTCTCTGTGTCTGGAGCTGTGTGTGTGTGATGAACTGCGGCAGATGCTCGTTTAAGTTTGTTTAATATATTTGTTTACTCAGAAGTCAGCTGTATTTTTCCATCGTGTTGACATTGTGTTCTCTCAACTGCATGATTTTCTGTCTGGTATCAGTCTGATCCATATTCAAAACATCAACTCACACAGGGAGACAAAGAAAGTGAGTGTGTGTGTGTGTGTGTGTGTGTGTGTGTGTGTGTGTGTGTGTTTGTGTGTTTGGCAGCTCTGCAATAAAGAGGAAATCCAATATCTCTTCTTTGTATTTCTCTCTCTCTCTCTCTCTCTCTCTCTCTCTCTCTCTCTCTCTGTGTTTCCCAGGAGGTCTGAAGGTGACGTGCGAGTACATGGCGCAGCAGGAGGGAGTTCTGTGTGAGGAGGTGCTGCTGCTGAGCGAGACCAACGAGGACGTCTGTGTTAAAGTCAAAGTTCACGCTCGAGTCATGGGTGAGTTTACTTTACAATATAAGTGGTAAAAATCTCATTTCTCTGTGCCTGCGTATGCAGTTTACTTTAGGACACTCTGCACCCTGGAGATGACCTTTTGTGAACTTTTCGACAGTTGGGGAGATGAAGTGCGTTCCCACACACTTTCTTTATATGCATTTTCAATTTGTGCATTAAAAACCAGAGTGGAAATATTAGAAATTTTGAAAGAAAGTTGAAATATTGCCAAAAAACTCTTGGCTGAAGTCGAAAACAAAATGCAAAACAGACTTAGTGAATAAATCATGAAGCATGTGACTTAAAGGTCCAGTGTGTAACATTTAGGAGAATCTATTGGCAGAAATGTAATATAATACTCATAGGTATGTTTTCAATAGTGTATAATCACCTGAAAATAAGACTCATTGTGTTTTGGTTAATGTAGAATGAGCCGTTTTTATCTACAGACGCCGCGGGTCGCCTTACATGGAGTCCGTTGTGTACCGTCCTACCTACACTTTGCGTTCCCAGGTCGTCAAATACAAACGCAAGCGGTGTACAGTTAGTTTCCATCTGCAACGTCACCACTAGATGCCACTAAATCATACACGCTGAACCTTTAAACGTCCACCAAAGAGATGAAAAATGGCAGTCCAAACATACAAGTGAGAAGCTGGAACGAGAGATGTTTTGCATTTTTGCTTGAAAAATTACTTCACAATTAATTCTTTATCAAAATAGATTTTCTGTCAACTGACTAATTGATAATAATTTCAATTTATTTCAGAAATGTCATTTTTGTGATCAGATTTCTGCGATTTTGTTGTATTTTATTAGGAAGTTATTTCACACTAATTGGAGCTCACTTTTTAAAATCAGCATTCATTTTGAAGCCCATTAAGTTAATAACAGCTGATTCCTAACATCTTGGAGTTTCTTGTTTCTGCCTCTTTGTGAGAAGTGACAGGAAAAAAATCCAAAAGTTGAACTTGTGTGCTGCTGCTGCCCTCTGCTGGTGACTCTTTACTTTGAGTCAGAGTCACTTTCACAGCACTTATGTCATCGCCAACAGACATTAAAAATAGGAAGCTAAACATGGTTTACATAAGTTTTCCAATAAAAACATGATTGTAGTTTCTTTTAAAATCTCAAGAACATATGTAGTTGATCTGTTCAGTTTCAAATCCTTCATTTGGTGCAGTTTGAATGAGTCAAAGACAGTAATAATAATTGTTCTCTTACACTGTAACTTTATTTTTCTGGCCTCTGCTGATGTAAAGCTCCCTGAGGCAGAGAAGCACGTAATGAATCTGCATTATCTCCACGTAAATCAGTGTCAGTAAGACTGAATTAGACGCTGGCATTTGTGCCAGCAGATGGAGAATTAGGTAAAAGGGTGTATGTGCCATTTGTGCTGGCGTAAATATAGTACAGCTAGTGTGTGTGTGTGTGTGTTTTGAAATTGTGCGTATGTGTGTTTGATGATGAATGGCTGTTGTGTTGGTTTATTTTTACCCACAAAGCGTGGCCTGAACATCTGTCCAGATGTATGAGTGTAATTGAGGCCTGGATGAGGACCAGATCAAAGGATTAAGCTGATATTCTTTAGCTGGGCGACTGCTCTTCGATCAGCGACTGAATGAGTAAAATATAAACTAACAACTGTTCTAATAATCGCTTAATCGTTTGTTTGTGTTTCATTAAGGAAAACTATAAAAGTATTTGCCAGTTCCAGCTTCTTACATGGGAGGATTTGTTGTTTATTTTGTAGTAAATTAATTATCTTTGGGATTTGGACTGTTTGTTGGAAAAAACAGGCAATTAAAAAAAAAAAAAAAAAATTAAAGGGCATATACACCATTTATTAAAAAACTCAATATATTATAATAATCAGTAATAATAAATCAAAACGCACTAAACTGATTTATTAAGGTTAAAAATAGCTGTTTGTTGTAACCCTAATGATCGTAGGGGCTTTTTGAACTATCAACAGCGTCTATTGTGTGTCTGTGCGTCCTCTCGGCGTGTTACACAATGGAAACGAGGGGTTAAAAGGGATGTGTTGCATTGGCCGGGAATCGAACCCGGGCCTCCCGCGTGGCAGGCGAGAATTCTACCACTGAACCACCAATGCTTACATGTTCACCATCATCGCATGTCCAAAATTGAATAGTGAACTATGGCTGCACTAGTGACGTACAAACATTTTATTTTTTATTTTTTTGGGCCGTTTAAACTGCTCCACTGTGAGAAGTTCCTTTATTAAAGTGTTAATTGTATGTTCTAAATTCAGAGTAAACGCACTATTCACCAAAACTGGTCCATGAGTCAGTACTAAAGAGAACTGAAGAGGTTGATCGGTTTGTAACGGTGCAGAGTGAATACTTTTAACTCCTGAGGATCGGGCTCTGCAGCGTTTGTGACTGACGGCCTCTGAATGAAAGACTCCCACGTCCCCGAATGGGAAGGCCTTGAACCGCATGTAATCTGATACTCCCATATTGAGGGGGTTGAGGGGGAAGTGCTGCCCTAAACAGAGCGTCTCAGTTAGTTCTTTCACCCACGTTGTGTGTGAACACTGCATGGATTATATTCCTGCAGTCTGCAGCCGATATTTGACTGAACCAAACCCTGTCACTTACTTTCAGATGTAATGTTACAATAAAGAAAGGATCACATCAGTTTTTAAGCCTCAAAGCTTCATTTCAACCAAAAGTCAGTTGCTCTTCTCCAGCTTATTCAAAATGCTGCCACAAGAAAACATTGTTTATTTTACCCATTTTATCAACCTGATGTGTTTATTTCATTTTGCAACCGTGTTTAGAAAAGTGATGATCCTTTTTCCCGCTTTATGAGCTTTTTAAGGAACCTTTTAGGAACTAGCTAACCTTGATCAGTGTTATCACTTTAAGTGCTTTTAATTTCTTAATAGTAGACACTAATGACTGTAGTGTACAAACATTAATCCCACTGCGGCTAATAATGAGCACTCGTGGTTGTTGTGCAGTATGTTTCCCCTTTTGTTCACTTACATAAGCATATAAATATTCATCTTATTGTTTCTCTCTGTGGTAATATTGTCTCTGATTGATCGTAATGAAGTTGGTTGGGTTAAAGACAGGAGGCAAGCACTTAACTTCCTTTTACGTTTTTGAGATGTGCCATAACACTTTCTACCCACATAAGAGTGTGGTGGTGGCAGATTTCCACTGAATGAACAATACAGGTCAATAACTACAGACAGGCCAAGGTAGCAGACTGTTGTTGTTCTTCCTGTACCGGCCGTATCTCCTTATTACGGATATTAGAAAACTGTTGGAAAGATGGTGGACTAGAATGGTATCAGAGTTGTAATACAGGTGGTATCTGATGCTTGTGTACTTGTGTAGACGTCCAGTCACTTTGTCTGAAAGTTCAGCACCTTGTGTGATTTTATTCCTCTCGTCTTTTGTCACTTATCTAGATCGTCACCACGGCACACCCATGCTGCTGGAGGGAGTCCGCTGCATCGGGGTGGAGTTGGAGTACGACTCCGAACAGAGCGACTGGCAAGGATTTGATTAAAGATGAAGCTCCTGTACACACACTCATATAAACACACTCACACACATAGCGGCCATCATAGAACCGTACACCTACTAAATTAAACACAACACACACCTGTAATTTTCCCACATAGTGACAGCGTACACACACAGATGATATTTTTAGTGCCACGTTATGTTTCAAGCCTCGGGTTTTGATTCAGTGTTCAGTTTTGGATTCAGAGGAAGTTGAATTGTTTTGCCTGCTGAAAATAATTTAAATAAAAAAAAAAAAACATTCCTCTGCTGTGACCTTCACACCATCGACAGCATCTGAACGGACGGTTTGTCTATTTGCCACGTCTTGTCTTTCCTCTCTCTCTCTTTCTCTCACCGTGATGTTGTTAATCTGTACTCTCCTCACTGAACCTCTAGAGGGCGGCAGCGCTCCTTGAATATCAGTGCAGCTCCTTTTCACTGCCTCTTGTGCTCCGGTTCACTCTTTTCCAAACTGTACCCCAACGTGGATTTAACAGGTGAGGGAGTAAACAAGGGCTTTTTTTTATTATTAATTAAGTAGCTTGGAATTTAACTTTAGGTAAGCAAAAATAAATAAATAAATCTGCACAATTCAGGGAGGAAGAGAGGAACTGATTAACAGCATGTAATGTCTCTGTTTAACCTGAAGGGGGGGACTGCAGACCACTGTGTGTAACACTCCTCCTATCTGAAGGCTGTTTCATGGAGTGTGGTCTACTTCTCCATTTAAAGGAAAAATCCAACAATTTCATGAATTGTGTCGCCCCTAGTTACCCCTCAACCTGCCCTGACTACTACTGAATTTGCTCTATTCTGCATTTCCCAGGAAATCCCAAAGAACATGTGTGAACTTATTTCAATAGGAGTATGTGTGGGGGGAAAAAAACAGAGAATAATGCCTCTAAACATTTCTTTTCTTTTTCTTTTTCTGTGGTGGATTTCTCCGGTATGATTATTAAACATTTGTGTCAAGTAGTGCATCTAGAAAGAAGCGCTTTGTCTTTAATTGTCAGGAACTGATACCAAAATCTGAGGTTTAGCGTCCATGTTTTAGGTCTAGCAAACATTTCTCTGCACCGTAAAGCTGCAAATGTTTCATTCATGTTGTTTTGTTTCGCCACTTTCCAGTAAAATAATTTAAAAAAAGAAGATTTAAACACAGATATTACGCACTGTGCATAGCCGAAAGCTGTTTTAAAGGTGAAAAATCAAACTGAAACAAGTAGTCGATTAATTAGTTAGACAGTCAACAAAAAATAATCGATTAATGATGCGTTTCTCTGTTTAATATTTTTGTAAATTTAATGTTTTTTGGCTTTTGGACTGATTCTTTTCACTATAGATCCACTAATCAAGGATCATTAGATTAATCAACAATGAGAATATTCTTGCATTAAAGTGTTTTGAGTGGATTTTTCCTTTAAGAAAACCAGTCCTGCAGAGTTCGGGAAGGATTTTGTTTCTCTTTGTTGGGATTTCATGAAGCCTTCAGAACACACACATTCGACACAAGTGCCTTTCGTTGTACCGTCCCAGTTCTCATTTAGCCTGATGTAGTTTCACCATCCCGTCACATACTGTACCCACCACACACACACACACACACACACACACAACACACAGACCAGTGTGGAGCGTCCATAAACATCCAGTGTAACGTTGTTTCCAGTGTTAAATCCCACTTCTTCCATGGCTTGCTTCAAACAGGTGTTATCACAGTAGGAGTGCAGATCAGAGAGAGTTGACAGACGCTCTTCTTCATTTACATTTGTACTTAAAGAGAAAGTGCCATGATCTCGTTGCACTGTCGTCTCCCTCTTTCTTTCTTTCTTTTTTTTTACAAAATCATGACATTTTCTCTGTGTGAATCAACATTTTATTGTTTTTGTTACACCCGATTGAATACATCAGCCTTAAAGGAAACGATTCTGTGTGTAATTTCTCTACTACGAGCTGTTGGTGTAGTGCAGATTAAATAGATTTATTTGATGTTTGCTTGTGTGTAATACAGGTCAAAGTCCGGTTTGTTTCTTCTTAGTGTAAAAAATGAAGTGCTCAATAGGTTACTGTTTCAAGAATGTAGCAGTTTATTTGTTGATATCTGCTCCCTGTGTGTGTGATTTATATTTTTAATGTCAAAAACTGAATAAAAAATGTCTGTATGTTTGAGTTTTGTCTCTTATTTCCTGTCAGTTCAACACAGGAACACTTGGTGGCAGTCTACTCCGCCACACTGATGTCACCTGTTACACAAAATATCTTTTTCATGCGGATCCAGTGGAGATCGAAAAAACATTTGGATGCACGATGAACGCATCAGGTGGATGTGAAGGTCTGCTTGGACTTTGGGTTTATTTCAAGATTAACTGGCCTGCGTGTATCTTTGAGCTGTGTAGTTTCACCTCAAGAGCATCAAGTCTGTTCTGTTTTTAAAGAGCAGAAACTACTATTATCGTTTGAACTTACTAGAAAACACTATATTCACTTTAACTCAGCCCCAGAGGTGTGAGAATAAACCTGTTTTTAATAGACTATCAATAATGCATTGCCATTTTACTGGACCTGCTGTTCAGTCACTGTATCTGATTCAGGTACAAATACATTTTTAGTATTTATGAGTCACTTAAAATAGAAGAATATTTGAAATCACACCAATGAAAAATTATCTTGTCAGTTTACCACAAATAAGAGAGACTGAAATTAGTTTTTTTTTATGTTATCTTCTAACTGCTACATTTTTCTCATGATCACAATATCGTGTAGATTCCTTTGCTGTTTTATACTTTTAGATTTACATAGAAACCATCAGTGTGTTACTGATGAGCCCTTAAAGAATAAAGTTTTATGTTACTTGCATTTATCTTCCTCTGCAGAGTCTTCGCTTCAAATATGCACATTTTCTTTTCCTGAATAATCACGGCTGTTTGAAAATAAAGGAATATTTGATGTGAATAAATGCATTCAAAGCTTATAAAGGATTATATTTATATTTATATATACAGAATTTAGGTTCCTCTTGGAGTTTCAGTTACAAAAAGGCTTTCATGAGTGAAATCTGTGGGGTGTTTGGTGAACAACTATGGGCTTCATGAGCAACAAATAACAACAAACCTTTACTCAGACTCCATTAAAACAGCATGTAACAGTGAAACAGGACTCTTTCCACTACTGGCTGTCGAGAGAGGGCAGGCTAACCGCCTGTATGTGGGGGAAAGAAGAAGTTTTAACTGTTCAATGACCCGCTTCCCTTTAAAGCCACATTATAAAGATTATTATGAATATTTAGGGACATAATAACAATATCAGTGTGCTGTGCTGCATGACTATCCTATTATGATGAAGAAAATAAATCAAAGTTTAATTTAAAACTTTATTTAAACTACTGATAAGGTTCAAAAATAAGAGCTGCAGCTTTAAAAGAGAAGTTAACTCTGGCTCATTTTTTATAAATAACCTTAAATAACTATTGCTGTTTAAAATGCTGCAACACTGAATATCAGTAATCAGCAACACTGACCTTTTGCTTTTGTATTTTTTTTTTTTTACACATTTGACATGGAAAGATGATTATTGGTTGTTTGAATAAGGTTTTGGGAGACACAAGCACGAATAACTGCCTGAATCAAGAGGAAAAGTTAGAAGAAAAGTCTGCAGAGCCTTTCCTCTCCTGTGGGACACAACTAGCACCGCTGCTGCTGCAACATTATTACACTGCAGGATCGAGAAACAACCTTTTTTATTATTATTATTATTTATTGTTTTTTAAGCGCCTGTAACATTTCTAGAAGAGGCTGATAATGATGGGGATCTGCGGAGGGATCAGTTTTGTACGAAAAAGGGAATAAATATGTTTTAATTTCGTCGTTTATTTGTTTTTTTCCCCCACTCTTGCTCAGTTATTATTTCTTTTACTGATTGGGATTTTATTTTAAAAAATTTTTGGTCGTTCTAAAAAATGCTTTAAATGTATGATGTGGAAGGAAACATGTTTACAGTCTCTTTATTGGGCTACAAACAGTTTGATTATTGTTAGTAGTGTTGGAGGCGGTGTGCAGTGTTAGTAGGATTCATCAACAGTAAACAGGCATCAACTATGAGCTTGTTACAACGCGTGTTGGTTTGCATTGGAAATAAATAAAGTTCAACTTTGAGCTCTGCAGGTGGTTAAAAGAGAGAAAATATTCATATTAATTTAAAGACAAATTAAATTGAACCCTAAACTGCAGTTTAAATAACAAGTAAAATATTTTATGTGACTTTAAAGTGTTACTTGTTTACCATAATTACACAGTTTTACTTTGCTTTATTTTGTTCAGTTACTTTCTTTATGTTTATCTATGATTTCAAAGTGTAAAATAAAATATTATATCAGCATTTTTTTAGTTGATTTTGTGTTTCTCAGCAGCTTTTAGACGGAAGACTTCACTGACTCAATAAATACAAACCTAATAGGCTCATTATTATTATTATTATACTCAGATATAGCCTATACGCTAAAAAAAAAAAAAAAACAGGGCCAAGTTTTTATTAGCACTTAGTAGCTACTTAACAATAATATATAATAATAATATATTTCTAAAATGGCTTGAATTTCGTTCAAATTAAGTGCAGCTCTGCACGATGGTCCTTTCGAAGTACGGGCTTTTTTTTTTTTTTTTTTTTTTGCCATTTCTTTGAACGAAATGATAAATTCTGTAGGTTTTTATGCTTCCTTTTTTGTCCTGTGTAATTTGTTTTATATGCCAGTTAAATTGCGCCTCATATTGTGCCACATTATTTCACCTTATTCCAGTTATCTTACCTTCACTGCAGCCTGTAAACAAAAGTTGCGTGAAGTTATTGATCTCCTGAGAGTCAGAGGAACAAACACCAAGACTGAAAATATAAATGCAGTATGTATATTATTATTATAAACTTAAAGAGGTTAAATTCTGACTGAGAATGCACCATGAAGACGAGGCCAGTCCTTTAAGGTGCATAATAAACCTCCAATAAATGGTGCGTAAAGCTGGTTGTCCGTCACGCTCCTGCGTACATTTCACATTCATCCTCCGCCACATTTTCTCCCCTCCTCCTTCCAAAAGTTTAATTTCAACAAAAGCTCCATAAATGCAACTGCATTCTCACTCATTTTCTCTCAGTATCCCCACAAAAGACGTCGGCGCGTCTGCGTCCAGTTTTACGCAGCAGCTTTACGGCTTTCTTTCCGGGTACAGCGCGTTTCCACCAACTTATTTTAATGATCACACATCCCAGTAAGTGCTTATATGTGACATTATGCGCTCCGCTATTAAAAATATACACACACACAACAGTTTTCGTGGCATTTGCAGTATTGCTGCATATTCTAAAAGCTTGGGAAATCATAAATAGATGCATTAGTTGTGATAAAATAGAAATTCTACCGTGTTTAAGATGAACTCTGGTTGTTTAAATCATTATTTTTTTTTAAATCAAAATCAAGTACAACGTATTGAATCTGTACATAAAATCCCAGTTTCATGCGGCCAAATGTTTGCCATTCCTGCACAGATTTGTCTGGAGCTTGTGTGGGATGTGTGAACTCTGAGTGGCCCGGTGCCCTCGCGCTGACCTCTGGGATTACAGTAATCTCTGTTGATTGATCTGATTGATCAGATTCATCTCCACGAGGCCGCAATCCAGCCGCACACGGGGGCCACGCAGATGAGGCTGTCGGTGCGTGGTGCAAACTAACATTGTTTTCTTTCCCCTTTTTGGCCTGCAGGCATTTACAGGCAGAGAGGGGGATCGCGAGGTTTTTAACTCCGGTTATAGGCATCAGTATCATGTGCCAGGACATCTGTAGTAATGTAGTGTAAGTGGGATTTTGAATATAGCTGAAATATGATTCAAATAAAACTGGGTTTTGATTTGATCATCATGTAGAAAAACAAATCAAGGACCCAGATTTTCACCCCTGATTGCATTGGTTTCAAGCTGAAAGTGCATTCAGATCATCATTAAATTACACAATAATCAAATTATTCTCCTCAAGGCAAAGAGAGAACTGACATAACTTTTCAAAAGTATTGAAATGTGGTTATTAATTTTTCCTACTGATGAATTAATTAAAAAAACATGACAGACGATTAATGAGAAGTGATAAATGTGCTCACTAAAACTGAAGTTGAAATAAAGTAACAGTCAAATGATGTTAAACTGAGCTGTCCTGCTTTTAGAATGTCACTCAGGTACAAGTACAGACTATTAACAGCATAATAAAGTATCAAAAGCACTCATAATGCAGAATTACCTTTTTTAAACTGTTGTACAACAAACTGATTGATGCATTTAATATGTAAACACCATTGTTTATATGTTGCAGCTGGTTGAGATGAAGCTTATTTTAACAATTATTCACTTCTGGGTAATTTAATCTGTAGCAATTCACCATTTGTGTGTGTAATATACAGTGTATGAGTCAATGTGGTGTAATGTAAACATCTTTAAACAACATTAAACTGGCTGTTAATTAAATGATTTTATGCCATATACCTCATGTTATTTTTCTTTCTTTAATAACTACCCTATATTGATCTTGTCCCATATTTATGTGTGTGAAGAACAAACAGAAACTGATGAAGAACAAATAAAAAAGTACAAAAATGTACAATAGAAGAAGTAAAAAAGCAGCAGAAAATGGAAAATACTACATTACATTACATGTTATCTATCTATCTATCTATCTATCTATCTATCTATCTATCTATCTATCTATCTATCTATCTATCTATCTATCTATCTATCTATCTATATGTTAAGCTGTTTACATTGTGCATCAGGCTACCAAGAAAGACTGAATTAGAAGAGGTGTATTATGCAGCCAAAGCTGCAGCCACAAATGTTTTTTTTTTTAATCTATAAATATACATAATAACAATCACCGACTGACACAAAATGTCTCCTAAAACGCCAAAAAGACTGAAATCAAAATATGAGCAGTCTCCAGAAAAAAAAGTTAAACGTGGTAAAAAAAAAAAAAAAATCTGCCTTTTGGAGGGTTTTTAGTTGTGCATCAGTAAAGGCAGAGAGAGAGAGAGAGAGAGAGAGAGAGAGAGAGAGAGAGAGAGAGAGAAAACACTGGAGAGAAGGAGGAAGAAAAAGTGTGTGTGTGTGTGTGTGTGTGTGTGTGTGTGTGTGTGTGTGTGTGTGTGTGTGTCGCCGCACAGCAGCAGCAATCAGTCCCCTCTTGTCTCGCTGCTGAGTGCAGCGTCTGATTGACAGTTTCTATTCATCCTCTGTGAGATTAGGCCAGCTGAAAGGAGTAACGACCCATGGCTGTGAGCAGTAATTACGGGCCTCGGATAAGAAAAATAAGAAAAAACACACACAGGCAAAACTATAATTATATAATCCCGCTCAAAAACCAATTTTTTTCTCTTCCTCTCTCTCTCTCTCTTTCTTTTTCCCCTGCAGTGTTTTCAAAGATGTTTCACCTGTAAAGAGGAAATTCCACCCAGTGTTTCAGTCTTTTCCTGCGACCGAAATTATCTCACAATCACAACAAACTGCGGGCTGCACCATCAACATCAAGCTGGCAGAAGAAAGTGGGCTGGTGTTTTGGATGAAGACTGGCTCTGCATATATACAGTAAATGACTGTGAATGAGCTGTTTTTTTTTTATCTGCAGCGGGATACACACAGTAACCTCGCTTTATTGCTCCTTTTATCGCGCAGTGCCTCTCGCAGATTATGTGTTAACAGCTCATTGAGCGGCGAGGTTTTCTGCAGGCTGCCAGCAACATTTCATAAAACAAGACTTGAGGCAGTTGTGTGGAGGAGGAGGAGGAGGAGGAGGAGGTGGTGGTCAAAATAAGAGGAACACCTGTTGAATCCAGTGAGTTTAGATCTTTTATTCAGGCTTTAGTTTGTGATGTTATTGTGTTGGAGGATGTTATCGTGCAACAGGTTGTCACCAGTATGAGCTGATGTCTTATTTTTAGATGATACAGGTGATATTTTAGGCTGATGTGTTTTGATTTTGAACATTTTCTTGTCAAAATTGACAATTCTGCTAAAAAAACAACATATTTTGCGTTTTATCCGTAATTTTGTTCTCAGCAGGTTGATTCTGAAACATGCAACTGCAGAATTTTAGGTTTCAAAGCTATTTATTCAATTCAATTCAAAATACTTTATTCGTCCCTTAAAGGTGGCAATTTGAGTGTGCGAACAGAAGTATACAAACAATTCATCTATACACACAAAAACGACATATGTTACAAAACGACACAAGGATTAAAATAAGGTCAAAGTGCAGGTGGATTTATCAGTGTATGTACAAGGTAAACTAGGTTAGGGTTAGAGAGAGACTCACCAGTGCACAAGAAAAGTAAAATGTTCTTTTTATGGCCCCCAAATCTCAACTTAAACAGTTTTACAATACAGGACATCCACTTATCTTTACACCCTTGATTCGATTAACTCATCAGGCATTTTAATGAATATATTTAAAAATACACTTCAACACATGGCTGTAAAAGACATTTAAATGTGACTTCAGACTTTCTGTTTAAGTAGAAACTTATCTAACATCTAACATTTAAAATTTAATTAAAAAAAGACAATATTGGCTCTCCTATATCGGTCTATATCGTCCAGTGGAGCTATGCATGTTTATTAAGTTCAGTCTTTAAGATTTTATTTTCATGTTTAAGGTCATGAAGTGAGATTAAGATGTATTTTATAAGTTTTACCTCACTGGGTCAGAGGTGCTTCTACCTCTTGCAGAACTACAGTGCGCCTTTACACTGTTTGCACTGTTTTGTGGACCAGCGCTCGATGTTGGGCCGCTGTGTGTGTGTGTGTGTGTGTGTGTGTGTGTGTGTGTGTGGGAGGGAGGGGGGGGGGGAGAGAGACCGGGCAGCGCTTGGCTGTTTCCAGAGCGGAATCGCGCACACAAACCATCGTCTCATGTCTCCGTGCCTGATCCCGGTCTGCAAGCGCCGCTCATCCTCTTGTCAAAACGTGCCTCTGCCGGCGGACCAATCGGCGACGACCCTGCGTGGACAGGAAATGACGCGCGGGCTTCCTGCCTCTGTAAAGTCTACCGTGTCACCACAAATATTATCCACACACCAGCAGCATCTCTCCTCTGTTCGTGTAGGCAGGGTGCAGCAGCCGCCCCGCTCAGACCTGATGTCTCGGCTGTAAAGCAAATTATACAAACAAAGAGACTTTTTTAATTTGGGAGTCAATGTGACCACTTCCCCATTTCCCGACAGTTCCCCTTCCTGCAGGGTTTCAACACTGACATCTTTTCTTGTGGGCTCTCCAAAAGCAGAAGACCACCGACCACCCCCTCCCCTTTTATGTGGCCATCTCACCACCAACAACACTCAATCACGGATCCGCAGACGCAGTGCTCCATCTGACCGGGGCTGAAGTAACAGGCTGCTGCTTTGGACAAACCAGGAGAAACTTTGTTCCCTGGCTTGTGCGCGGTGAACTGTGACCGCAGTGCTGCTGTGTGAGGTGGTTTTTTTTTTTTTTTTTGGTGTGCGCCGCCTCTCACTTTATTTTTCTACGTGGGTGAGCAGTGTGTGCTTGTGTTTGTGGCACCTCCCCGCTCCTCCATAGATCTGGTTGCCCCCTTGTACCTTTCAGGCTGCACCATGCATTTCTCCTGCACCTCCTGGCTGCTATAGTTAGAGCAGGATCCCGAGGTTTCCCCCCTCCTTCCACCCACCTCCCCCAAAGCCGACTCTCCCTCTTGCCTTGGTTTGGACTCCGGACCGCGCGTCATGCCACGACACCTGAAGCGCACCCCGGTCCCGTTGCAGGACCTCATGGTTCCTTTGTAACTGGATCTACTTTTTTTTTTTTTTGGAGGGAGAGGAGGGCATGCTCTCCTCGTCTCTGGAGAACACTTGCAAAGAGGAGAAGAAAGTAGGAAGACGAGGGTGAGCAGCAGCGACAGACGGAGGGAGAGATTATTTTAGAGAGTGTAACTGACTTGTAGATGTTTGATCAGGCCACGACTATGGGCGATGGGAACCACCGCTGTGGACCCAACCCGCTGTGTCCGGACCGGATGGAGACAAAGTGCCGCTCCGAGATAGGGAGCCGGTCCCCGGTTCAGAGCTCCACCGACACTCCGGGGACATCAGCCTCTACCCCGACGTCCTCCAGCGAAGACGGACACGACAAACTTTTGGGAGTGGACCCTGACTACTGCCGGAGGATATTAGTAAGGGGTAAGTGAACGAATACAAACCAAACACTGATTTATTCTGTGCGTAAAACTAATCCTGAGACTGGGGATCTGTCAGTTACCTGGAATTGAGACTATTTTCACACACCTGTACAACATTAGTTAACCTGACACTTTTAGCTAAACACACACTGTATTGACAGTCACAGCAATTACAAGAATAAAAGAACAAAAAAAAAAAATCCCTAAAAATGAGCTATAACATTAAAAAATGTCATATATGTCAAATATAATATACTGAAAGAAGGCAGGCATGAGTCTATTTAAACCCCAAAGTGTCTAAAACTTGGACTGAACATGACTTACATTTCTAAACAAAGTGGTCCACAATACAAAACCTCTGGTGGACTCATGCTGAGGTATGAATAGCCTACTTTCACTTCCGTGATACCTAAATGATTGTAACACCAGGCCACACCTGCAAGTATTACTTCTCAAATAAAAATGATATCACAATATAAAATTAAATCGGTGTGAATAGGATTGTTTGTCCCAGGCTGTATCAGCTGTGACAACTCCCTTCTTGTTCTTTATTAAGTCTATTGGTCAGATCAATAGTCAAAACAATGGCTGAACCTAGTAGATGAAATATTGGCTCATTATTTATCTCACATATGTAGTGAATAACTTCTCCACAACACATCATCTCTGTGTGGAGGTTTAAAATCAGACCTGAGATGAAAAAAGGAAAACGTTTGAACTGTTGAGGATAATCAGGTGAAACTCACTCCTCGAGGCTGTTGAGTCTTTTATCAACAAAGGAGCAGATAGAAAACATCATAACGTAGCTCTCCATTAAACAGCCACTATAAAGCAGTGTGTGTGTTTGTGTGTGTGTGTGTGTGTTTGTGTGTGTGGGTGTTAGTGTGTGGGTGTGTGTGTGTGTGTGTGTGTTTGTGTGTACTGTCAGTGAATTCAGCCTTTGTGTGCCAACGTTATATTCTTGAACGTCAGAATAATATTTAATTTAATATTATTCCGGGTGTCCACGCCCTCCTGCAGGAGGCCAGCTGCCTCTGAGCAAGACTGAGACTTCTTTAAAAAAATTCCAGATAATTAAGATAAAACCACTGAAAACATAAACTCTCTTAAAATAGAATTTAAAAAATCTGTTGTAATTTGTTCATTTATTTTTGAGTTCTGTATTATTAAGCTATAGGTGGTGTTACAGTCCTTTTTAGTAGCCCAAAACATTTGTGTTTGATTTATTTTTTGCACGTTAAATTATAGAAATATAAGACATAAACACTTTATTTATCATTGTAGGCTACAACTAAATGTTGTTTGCTAACTCTCAGTGACCAGCAGCAGCAAAATAAATTATTTACCTAAATAAAGTTAAAGAACTATAAATAAATAAATAAGCTAATAAATATGAACATGAAGAGGTAGTTTCTTCCTACTGTATATTTAAAGGATTAAAGGTGAACAGTGACAGTGCAAACGGTCTACCAGTGAAGTATAAACATGTATAAAATATATTGCACCAACATAATTAAAACATTAAATTGTTCAGTAAATGTGTGTTATATGTTTGCAGGGAAGGGTTCCAATAACATAAATATAACACATAAATCTGTCTCGTTATTTGATTTTTGTAATTATTGTGTCCGAACATAAATGAAGAATAAAGACTTGTATAACCTCGGTGAGGAAAAATAGGAATAATCAGTATTTAAAATGCATTATGAGGAATATTTGGAGTCATTGTGAAGTTTCCTACATGAGGGATATTTGTTTAAATGCTTTCCAAGAACAAAAAGTCAACACGGTTCCCTCCCATTCAGAATCTCATAATAAAGAAAAAGGCTCAAATTAAATTGCAACTAGTATTTTTGTGGAGGATATTTCTTGTGTGTGTGTGTGTGTGTGTGTGTGTGTGTGTGTGTGTGTGTGTGTGTGTGTGTGACTGTTTCTGAGGACAGAATCAATATGTCGGCCTATCAATTCTCGGTTATAGGCTGCGGATGTTATGGCTGCTGGTTGGTTTTCTTTCTATTGAACGTTTAGTCGCGTTTCTTCCGCACAGCAGCAGCTCTTCTAAACGGAGAACAGGAAAATAAAGTGTAGTAACCAGACCGATTTAAAATAGTAAACGGCTTATCCGGAGAAAGAAAAATGGCGAAAGGGAGAGAAATTATATACGTGGATGCAGATTAAAAAAATATATAAATACATCGACCAATACAATACAAAACAACCAGAGCGTCGATCACTTCCAGTATAAATAGATGTCTATAATGGTAATGTGTACGTTTATTATTGATTAATACATTTCTTCTTTACTGCTGATCACATCCCTATGTTTTTAAATGTGAGATCTGGCAGGCAGGAGTTCGTATACTCTGTGTAAAAGCCTCTGAATCATCTGATAAACATGCGGTCATTACGCTGCGTTAATGGAGGAAGTGGCCTGCAGAAGGTCAGGAGAGGGTGTGTGCCGGTTTTTTTTTTTTTTGGTGGAGGTACTGTACAGTTTTTACTGAGCGAGCGACTCCTGCAGTGTCAGGATTTGTTTTTGAAGCTGAGTCTGGATGCTCGGGCTTTTCCGCAGAGAGGCCGGGGTCACCGAGAGGTCAGCAGGTCTGCGTACAGCCGCTGGTTTCCCTCCTCTGCTTGCAAATGTTTCCATCACAGTTACTGTTGTTATTTTTTTTTCTCTCTCTGTCTCTCTGTCTCTCTCTCTCTCTTCTTTTGGGGCCAAAAAATGTGTGTAAACACACTCCGCTGTATGTCTGGGGAGTAGGAGGGGGGCTTCTAGTATCTCTGGTGCAGACCCTCACTTGCCTGGCGACACATTACGCAAAGTCATTATGCGTGCGTAAAGATGGAGAGCTCTCACTCTCGTTTCATTACGTAGCCCAGGCTTGTAGGCTAACCAAACAACAGAATAACTTCCTAAAACACCGAGAATGAAATAACTGTTTAATACAGACCAGGGACTGACTAATTTACTGGGTTTTATCAACTATGTTGATTCCTCTGCTGTAGCAAAAACAGCCCACAGTTTCCCTTTTACGCACTGATTCTTATTCAATTACAAATGTTCTGTTTATCTCTTCTTTAAAAGTACGTTAATACGAGGGGAGATATACCTTTTAGACCAGGTTCAATTTGCCTTTATAGCCAAAACATAAAATAAATAATAAAAAATAATAATAATTCAACTTACTCTCAGTGTTTTTCTTGTCCTTTCTATAGAAACACTATAGATTTTTCGGTTCAATCAGTTTTGTTTCATATTTAATTCAGGGCTCTTCATATTTTATTGGATTGCATATTTTATGACTTGAAAACCTTGGACAAAGAGGAGGTGTTGTCTGGCCTGCGCTTCCATTGAACGTGATAAATACGAACAAATATTCTCGGCTAAAATACAAAGGGACACGCCTTTAATAACCCACAACATTTTTCGCTCACAGCAAAATTAAAACAACGAATTGTGATTTATTTTTCTTTATTTTAAACAGTATAGACAATATCCTGAGGGCTTCTGGATCCAGGGCGGGGTGTAATGACTGACTGACTGACCCTCCCCATCCAGGATATCTCTCTAATATATTAATTAGCTTTATAATATATGTTATTTATTTTTATTATATTTAAATGAGTTCTGATTTTACAAAAAATAAATAAAATGCACAATAACACCAATAAGACGGACACGGCTAACCAAAGAAATAAAAGATAAGTCCCCTATTTAATGATAGTTTGTCCCATGAACCCACACACTATGTTGTTGTTGTTGTTGTTGTTGTTGTTGTTGTTTTGGATAATGACGCACAGCCTTGGAGTTGAAAGTGGAGCTTTTAAATTATTGTCTAAGTAGTTTGGAGTGAATTATATGTCACATAGACAAGTAAAGCTATGCTCATCAACACTTAACAGCCCGAAATAACCAGGACAGATATTCAGTGCCTCTAACCCCCAGAAATTGGGGCAAAACTTGGCAGAATTCCCCGTGCGCATATTTCCATCACCCTCTATTTCTGACTGAGTCTCCATTAAAGTATCCTAGATGCAATGGAGTCGATTGAAGGATTTTAATTTGACTTTTACTTTCTGGAAACACGAGATATTTTACATTTTTTAGCACGCAAAAACTGACGCAGCTTGTGTCTTCAGTCACGTGGACTAACATTGCGCAGGCGGTGCGTCATTTACGCGTTTGAGTTGTGGACATTGATCTCAACATTTCTACAAATATTCCATAAAATTCCTGAATATGGACTATAGACCACGAGGTGGGCCAATATCAAGATCCCTCCCACACCCTCAGGTTGAAGCACAGTTTAGTCTTATTTGGTTTGCTGTGATTTATGACAACAAGGCCTTTTTTCAGGCCGTGTCCTCGTGTTAAAAATAACACATATGAAGGTTGTTTTACTTAAAGACACACAGACGCGCATCCATCCATTTTATTCTCTCTCTAAAGCCATTAGCCTATAGCACAACTCATGAATATTACATCAGTTTGGCACCACGGAGGCCCGTTTCACTCCAGCCTTTAAAAGAAAGGTGTGCGACTCGGTTTGTCATAGCCTGAAGCTGCTGATAAAGTAATTTGTAATCACATTGTAATCAATAATAATACTCTCAGGTGTGAACTGTGAGTAGCTGTCGTTGCATTCGCTCACAAAATGTTGTTTGTTGTGTTTTTATTTATTTATTTATTAATTTATTTATTGTATTGTTGACAGACGCCAAAGGCACCATCCGGGAGATCGTCCTGCCGAAGGGCCTCGACCTGGACCGGCCCAAACGCACGCGGACCTCCTTCACGGCCGAACAGCTGTATCGGCTCGAGCTCGAGTTCCAGCGGTGCCAGTACGTGGTGGGCCGCGAGCGCACTGAGCTCGCGAGGCAGCTGAATCTCTCCGAGACTCAGGTAAGAGGAAGAGTTGTCTTAAGTCGAAGGAAAATGGTGCCAATACTCCATTTGTAGGAATAATTAAAGGAATAATGACACAATAAATTATTGCGCAAGACAACCGGGCTAGTAGCCAAGCAACCGGGCGCTAGTTAAGGGCCTTAGCATGGCATTTAGCATGTTTTTATTAATTCATAAAGTAGGCCGTATTGGTATCTATTTGTTTTATTTATTATTGTAGCCGAAGCCAGTGTTTTAGGTATTTTCGTTTTACATTAGCCAAATATTTCAACATAATTTGGTCACATGTGTATTTGGGGCCTTTTAATTGGCTCCTTGGTCCAATCAGAGGAGGAGGAGGAGGAGGAGGAGGAGGAGTAGAAGGGCTGCCCCGCCCAAACGCACTGTCCAGCTGGGTTTTTAAATGGGCATATCCGGGGCCAAATCCTGTGTGTTTGCAATCCGACACAAATTTGAATTGGGATGTAAACTCCACACACACAGATACAAAAAGCCTCCCATAAAGGCCCGGGGGTGTGTGCACGCTCCAATAAAGGTCTTAAATGAGCACGAAGCCTATGGCCCTACAGGGCTATAGTATATTCTTACATTGTGTTTTTAAATAGGCCTGACATTTTAAAAAAAACGTTACATTTCCTTCACATTCAGATACAAATAGGAGCGTATTTAAAAACACAGTTCCAATGAATACAACACCACAGCCAACACCTCTCTGACTGACACAAAAATCTACATCATCTGTCTCATTTCCCATCACGGGACTGTTGGATTCATCTGCGCACAGTATCTGAGTGTGTGTGTGTGTGTGTGTGTGTGTGTGTGTGTGTGTGTGTGTGTGTGTGTGTGTGTGTGTGTGTGTGAAATAAACACCTCTCAGCAGCAACAATCCTCAGAACATTTTGTCTTCTGCATTTGTGTGTTTGTGTGGAAAGGAACTGGCATGTTGCTGCCCGGTACATCGGTCCCTGTCCATCCGGGCTCCTCTGAACACTGCAGACATTTCGTGGCCACTCGCTCACCTAACCCCCGCGCGCTTCATTCAAACCTTCCTGCAGCGCAACGAGCCCAACCCCTCTCTGTTTATTATGTGCGTCACCACGTACACACAGTCTCTATAAGGGGGCAACACAACACCGCGTATTTAAATGCGTAACTGTGATTTTCTGTCTCATTTAAAGAAGTGTGTTTGAAGGCCAACCTTGAATTTCCCTCGGGATAAATAAAGTATCTATCTATCTATCTATCTATCTATCTATCTATCTATCTATCTATCTATCTATCTATCTATCTATCTATCTATCTATCTATAAAAATGGGTTGCACAATATCACGGCACAAACTACTGAAGCGCGCAGATCTTAACAAGAAATGGAATTTGGCCAACACACTCTGTTAATAGTATAATCTAATCCAATCCAATCCAACTTTATTTGTTAAGCACTTTAAAAACAACCAAAGTTGACCAAAGTGCTGTACAGGAGAATAAATAAGACATCATAAATGTAAACAGTGATGATGATGATGAAGAACACTGTGAGGAATACAGACATATAAATAAATTGATGTGAAAATTAAATCTTGTCATATTTAAAGCCATATTTTACCCAATGTGGGTTTATAATAGACTCTTAGAATATTTAATTTTCGACAGAAACCCTGCCTACAGTTCATTAAAGCTACTATTAGAGCCATAACCTTCAAGTACAGATCGAAGTTAATATCAGAATACATGTCTTGTGTGTGCTGCATCTTCCCAGTAAAAAAAAAAGAAGGGAACAGTCTGAAGACACTGATGATAAAAGGAGGCAGTTATGTGATAGACTGTGTGATAGAAAGCGTTTAAAATAAACCCACAAAGTCACAGAATTAAAGTAGGTACTTGAATTTGTTTGTTTGTCTGTTTGTTTTAAATTTACAACAATGTGTGGAAATACACATCAGGAGGTTTGCGTCACTTCTTTAAAAAAAAAAACAACACACTTTACTGCAGGAACTTTACGCATCACCACGGTAGCTCTGTGGAGCACACCAACCTTAATATGTGACCACAAAAAAACGCACTCAAACATAGAGGTGTGTGTGTGTGTGTGTGTGTGTGTGTGTGTGTGTGTGTGTGTGTGTGTGTGTGTGTGGATTTGGGAACACAGAGCAGCCACTGTGTCCCTCATTAGTGCTGACACTAGGGGTGTTAATGGGAGGGCCTCAGCTTCCTGCTGCTGCTGCTGAGGAGACGCAGGGCAGCAGATGATTGGCTGAATGAAACCGTCTGAAAACTGTCCTGACCTTCAAGCGAGAACAAAATGTAAATAATAAAAGTCTCCGCAGTAATGGCGTAGAAATATTAAAACCTTTTGCTCTGAAATTTCTTAATGCTGTGCGCTATTGAAGCAGCTTTTACGCGTGATCGAAAGGCTTTTAGTTGGCATTAGTGGAGTTTTTTTCTTTTCTTATTCTTACCTTCCTTTCTATTTGTGGCGTTTGCATATTTTTAAGCAAATGCGCCATTCAAGGCTGGCCACGAAAAGGAAAGATGGAAGTTTAAGGTCTTTTTAAGCGAATTGTTTGGGCTGTTTTTCTGGTTTTCAGGGGACTTACTGTGTTTGTTGATGGTTTTAGTTCGCTGATCAAAGCTTTCACAGGTCTCCAGCAACTAATTTAATTTTTATCTCCAGATTAAAGACCGCTGGGTTTAAAAGCAGCTCCATTAAAGTGTGTTCTTTCTCTATCTATCTATCTATCTATCTATCTATCTATCTATCTATCTATCTATCTATCTATCTATCTATCTATCTATCTATCTATCTATCTATCTCTCTAAAACCTTTCCTCTCCTCGGAATAACTGTGAATAAGCTTCGTTTTTAGATACAAAGTCTAGTTTTGGGGCTTTTTTCGATGCTTTTCGAGCACAAAAACCTTTAAGTTTTTTGGGTAAATCACAATAAAAATTTCAATTTAAATATTAACTTGTCACCCTGATGAAATTACGGCATTCTGGTTTCAGTAAAAACATAAAATCAGCTGTGTGTGTGTCTGTCAGTGGCGCTTAATAAATCTGTCGCATTTTAATAGACATATAGAAAAAACGGTGGCCTTTTAAATACTTAATTTCGTTGCGTTAATCTCACATTCAACACAAATATTAAACATTAACATGGATTTGACTCGATTTTAGCAGAAAATTACGTTAAAAGTCACATCATTTCACTTGTTTTGAATTAAAATCACAAACAAATGAACTTTATAGCAAAGTCTCCAGCAACCTAAACCCCGATCAAAGCACGATTACTCGTAACTTTTATTATAAACTTGTGTAAACGAGACACTCATCTTCATCTGTGAATGAAACACAAATACTAATTACAGTAATATGGGAGGTTGGATCGTTAAGTGTTTTTTAACAATGTTTGGGGATTTAGTCACTGACCCATGGCCTAACTCCAATTAGTTTGGTCAGGTATTCAAACTCATCACGCAATGAGGCAGCAGACATTGGAAACACACAAACACGCACAAACACGCACAAACACGCACACACACACACACAGACACGCCCATATTCACGCGCAAGGACTCACGCAAAATGGGGCCTAAAATCTTAATCTAGATTGTTATTTTATGGAGTTTTCTGAAGACGACTAACGACTGAAAATTTAGATTATTATTTGACTATTAGGAATGTTAATATATCTCCAAGATACACATAATTTTGATTAAACGTAAAAACCTCGATGGTATTTTAAATCCAGTCTTCTATAAGTATTTCTTTAACACAAATGTTATGGTATTTTTGTATTTAGTGACTAAAACACGCACAATTTCCTCTCAAAAACGTTTCTCTTGACTCAGGCTCAGTCAGCAAAGACTAAATCCAAGACCCACAGCGTCCAATAAACAGGACAAATAAGAGTAAACAGATGAAAACAGGTTAATGAGCACATAACGGTGCGTAAAACTGGAATGGAGCCCATCCGAGGCTGTGCTGCTGGTCTGGAAGAAAATCAATCCACCTCATATCGCTCCTTACTTCCTTCAGAACTAATGACATGAATATATTTGTCATGTAAAATCTGTAAATTACATTAGTGTGCGCACTTTTCTCCAAACATTTGTGAATGCGTAAATTAGCACCGCGTTCATATTCAAATTCAATTGAAATCAATTTGAAAAGGCGTCAAAGAAACCAAAAACAGCCTGTAGAAACGTGTTTTTTTGTCTTTTAGTTGCTGCACCATCGTGAGAGGAAAGCGGTAACTATTCGTGCATTCAGTAATCCCACTGCTGTAACACGTTACTGAGTAATCTGTTACCAGCTCTGAGCTCTCCCTTCATCCCGGCAGGTGGCTCCCTGCTACAGTGTAACACAGCAGGAGGGGCTGAAGAGAGAGTGTGAGAGAGAGGATACACCACACAGAACAGTTCAGTTACCTTTATGATCAGTTTGCTCTCATGGTTGTTCAGGATGCTTCCGCTCTTATTTTGAAGCTATGTTAGGTTGATTGATGTGGAGGAGGATCATTTACAATATTAATTCCTAATTCCTGCCTGAAAACTGTGTGAATCTACTTTAAATTAAAGCTTTAACAACAAGATACAACATACTTTTTCTGTCTTTCTTTCCTAAAACTTCTTTTTTTTGGCTTTGTTGATGTGTCTCTTTGTTCACCTTAAACTCTATTCTGCTACTTTTCTGCAAGCTTTCTCCTCTTGCACACAAACTTCACACATTCTTGGACACATCCCGCCTGTTCCGACTGGTTTCAGCAGTGTGACTTTTAGAGATTTTAGGACACCATGCTGTGTGGTCACTTTAAGCTCTTCCACAGTCCTCCTGAGTTGAGTGCAGCTGACGTATACGCTGCCATTGTATCAGTCTTTTGTTGTTTGCAGCCCTTGCATGGAGAAGCTATAGATTTAATGGTCTCTGGGCTGCGTTAAACTGGTTTTAATCCCGCAGCAAATGGGAGTGAGCTCAGTGACGGAATCATGTTTAATCTT